GTATGGCCAGGAAGGGGATCTTAGGGTCCCTGAAAACTAGTTCTTGCAACTGACGTCTGACTGAGGACTGGCTCAGCTTTTCCATAAACTGGTCCCTTAGGAACTCAGCATTCGTCTGAGGGACCTGCAGGGTGCCCTGTCTGGCAACAAGGGCCTTGAAGGCCCTGTGCAGGCGGTACGAGTAGGCCCTCACCGACTCGTGTTGGCCCTGCACAACCATTTGGAGTTGCGCCATTAGCTGGGAGACGCTCCTCTTCTCCCCATAGACTTCTCGGAGGAGCCTGATGGAGGCCTCTGGGTCACGTTGCAGGTCATCTCCCCTGCAGCTCAGTTCTTCTCTCACAGCTTCCCCCAGGTACTGCCAGAGAAGGTCCTTCCTCTCTTCCACTGAGACGTCTCTTCTGGCCCTCCAGAGAGACTGGACCTCGTCAATGAATCGTTCCACCTCATAGCCGTGGCTGTCCCCATGAAACTTCCGGATGAGGATCTCCCTGGGTGGAACGATGCTGATGGTTTGTGCCACCTCCGCCATCTCGTCCGAATTGGGTGTTAAGACTACAAACAATTCCTACACTAAACAAAAACTAAACACATATGGTTCCAAAAAGGGCCTATCAAAACAAAAAAATTTATCTAAGCTACACTAGCCCTAAAAGAAAAACAAAAAATTAACTAGACTAAAGCACTGACCCCACTCGTGCTACCAATTTGTGGGCCCTGCTAGGGGGGGGGATACCTACAATCTACCCTTCTAGGCTTAACTAATCTGTCCGGTCAGTGCAACCGTGGTAGAACCCACAGTGGTTAAACCCTAACCTTAGTCTAAATAATAAGCTACTAAAATAAAACAAAACTTTTAACAATTTAATAAAATTTATTGCATGGAACCAAAAGTTATAAAAAAAGAACAGATAAAAACTGACAAAACAGAACCAAACGAAACAAACTTTTTACATCAAACAAAACACCCAATTTCGGACTACGTCCAGGACTAAGACGAACACAAAATAAATACGACTGGATGGTGCGAATTTGCTATTCTTTTCACTGGATGACCAGAGAGACTGCCTGCTCTCTTCACCGCGGCTTTCCACACAAAAGACAGAGTTGAACAAGCCGGAAACCGACTTCCCCACACCTCACACACTACTCGTAAACAAATAGTCCCTAATTCACGGATAACAAACCAAACACGACGAAACATGCAACAGAATATTATAAAAAGACACTTAATATAAACAATGACAACAATATAAACGAAATATATATAAACTAGCTATAACCAGGGACATAAACAGTGAGACAGCGGCGCCATAATACGGGACTACACAACTAAAAATTACGAACAATTTACGACATGAAACGAAACGATACATTCGCCTTCTAAGTTACAAATAATAAAAATACACTCCAGCCGCTCACACAAGCAAAACCTAGTGATCAGAATTCATGTCTAAGCGCCATTTCAAAAAAAAAGTCGGGTTAGATGCCTGCAGTGTTTCTTCCAGACTTTTTTCTCGGGGGGGGGGGGGGGGGTACTTGATATTTTCGGGGGCGGTCAACATTTTCAGGGGGGTGGGGCGGACACTATTAAAAGTAAATTTTTACTATATAAATTCTATCTCGTTCGGAGGGGGGGGGTAGATGCCTGGAAGAAACTCTGGATGCCTGGAAGAAACTCTGCTGACGAGGGCATACAGTGGATTCCCGTTGGTTAGAAAGCTAAATTTTTACTTTTTTTTCTGACAGCCCGATTTTGACCCAAACATAGATGGCAAACAATTTCACTATCTTCAACATGCAGGGTTTGATGACATTTTCTCCTATTGTGTTTTTTTTTATATTGCTTGGCAATTTCTAATGCGACTGCATAGGATGCTTGCACTAATGCTGTGTTTCCTTGGTGAAAACATCCTGTTCGATCAAGTCTATGACGTTCGCAACTAGCTTTATGCCGACGAAAGAACTTCATATATTTTTTTATGTGTTTTGAATGACTCTTCTCAAAATGACGTTTTAGCTATATGAAGGTTTCATAGGCTCTAGAACAACTTTGCACAGTACGCATTGTTTCTTCTCTATTTTATTTTCATTGATGTTAGTAGAACCAAATTTAAGATATTCTTTTAAATATTTATGTTTGTTTTTTTCATTGCTAGGGTTTTGTCTACCATTTGGCGACCCTCCTCCCCTTCAGAAAGCCCTTGATCGCGACCCTGGGGTCGAGACCCCAACAGTTTGGGAACCCATGCATTAGAGCAAAACGCTTGTGATGCTATAAATAACTGCATAGGATGATAAGTCGTTGAAAGAGAATAATCTTTATCGTCAATAACTAAAGGTACATTTAAAAAAAAACTCTTTTTTTCAAGCTTAGTTGATTTTGCAGCAAAATATCGCTGTGTATGTAGCCACTTAGCCCAAGTATTGTACGTATCTTATATAGGCCCTATGTACCCTAATTAAAACACAATTAGCGCAGGATGGTTTATTTTTTTGTTATTACATACAGTAGCGTAGCGAGGGGGGGGGGGGGGGCGGGGGGGGGACATATGTCCCCGGGCGCCGACCTTAGGGGGCGCCAAAATGGGTTGGAAAAATAAATTGAAAGGTTCAGGGGGTGCAAATCGAAATCTCGAGGGGGGGGGGTGCAAATCGAAAGTTTGAGGGGGGGGGTGCAAATCGAAATCTGGGGGGTGCAAATCGAAAAGTTTGTCCCCGGGCGCCGGGAAGGGTCGCTACGCCTCTGATTACATATGATGGTAGGGTGGTAGAGAACAATTTATAGGCATCACATTGGGAGAGACTGGGTGACACGCACAGCCTATGCCAGTTCTGGAAAAGGTATTCAGTGGACACTCACGGGGAAACTAGAAGATCTGGAGTTTGCAGATGACCTTGCCTTACTCTCGCACAGGCTACAGGACATGCAAGAAAAAGTTGATGCATTAGGAGCCATCTCGCAGCGCATAGGTCTCAAGATCAACAAAGAAAAGACAGAAATGATGAGAATTAACAATAAACAGGAGGCTCCAGTGACAATAGACGGAAGACAGGTAAATGATGTGCAAGAGTTTGTCTACCTTGGCAGCAAGATCAGCAAAACGGGAGGCACAGAGGAGGACATACGCGCTAGAGTTAATAGAGCCCGCTGCGCTTTCACAGTCCTGCGACCCATATGGAAAAGTTCGGCCATCTCCATTACCACAAAAATTAGGATATTTAACTCTAATGTCAAGGCAGTTCTGCTGTATGGAGCAGAGACATGGAGAGTCTCCAAGGCAAGCACAGCAAAGATACAGACCCTCATGAATAGATGCCTTAGACAGATACTGAAACTGAGATGGCAGGACAAAGTGCCGAACTTGGAACTATGGAGGAAAGCTAGGCAGGAGCCTATTGGTGTGCAAATAAGAAGGAGGAAGTGGCGCTGGGTGGGTCACACACTGCGAAAGGCTCACACAAATGTTACACGCCAAGCGCTTGAGTGGAACCCTCAGGGAAAGCGGAAGAGAGGGCGCCCAAGACAGACCTGGAGGCGGAGTCTTCTTGAAGAACTGAAGCCAACAGGGATGTCTTGGGAGATGTCAAAATTAGCCGAGGATAGGAAGAAATGGAAGGAAATGGTGGAGGCCCTATGCTCCATAAGGAGCAAAGAGGACTAAGTGAAGTGACATTGGGAGAGGGAAGGGTGCGGTTCGCACCGGGTGGCGCCAATTTTAGGGGTAAACAAAATCGAAATTTTTAAAATGTACCATCAAAATGTTTTATCCATTAAAAGTAAAAAATAAATAAAAATAATTGTAGGGCAGGTGGTTGACACCAAATCGATATTGATAAATTATTTTAGGGGTCCGGCGAGCAGTAGCGTAGCGAGGGGGGGGGGGACATATGTCCCCGGGCGCCGACCTTAGGGGGCGCCAAAATGGGTTGGAAAAATAAATTGATAGGTTGAGGGGGGGGTGCAAATCGAAATCAATCGAAAGTTTAAGGGGGGGGGGGTGCAAATCGAAATCTTGAGGGGGGGGTGCAAATCGAAAAGTCTGTCCCCGGGAAGGGTCGCTACGCCTCTGCCGGCGAGACCCTCAGTTATCGCACTGGGTGATAAGTACCCGACCTAGTGACGACACCGATCGGCATTATTTTATTTTAATGTATGTTATTTGAGTGATAGATTAGTAGTGTTGATCAGTTGTATTTTGAATGGTTACATTAGTAACAGACTACGGTTGAGGGTATATGTAACTGGGTTACATATGAGGGCGAAGGAGGCGGACTCTTGTGACGATGTAGAGTGTGACGAGGAAACTGTAATGTCACACTTTGGATTTTTAAATAGAAATCTGGTTATTTTTAAATTGAATTTGTTGCTTTCTTTTTGTCCCTTAAAAAAGATCAATGCGGCCAACATAATCTTGATCTCGATTTGCTTGTAAAATTCTCAAATAGGCCTGAGTTCTTTCAAATTAAGTAGACCCTGGATATGTATGTTATGTTAATCCCATACTATTTTTGAGGTCTATTAAACCTACTTTTAACAATATAATTTTTAGCGAAATGTTTTTTATTTAGTAGATTAATAGTCAGGATACATTTTCTAATGCAATCAGCAGTGTTTCCTCGTGATGTATGACTAATTATGTATGATGTATGACTGTAGATTGTAGATAGAAATAATAAAATCTAGATCTAGTCTAGTCTAGATCTAAAAATAGGTTCTTTTAAAATGTTTTATCGACGGTTCATGTCATGTGGAGTGTTAAAATAAAATAAAGGCCTCCTATAACAAATTTAAAACTGCATTTAGTAGCCTACGCATAGCCCAGTTATAGTTTTATAAATAAAAATAAACTACATAAATTACAAAATTCACTTTTAATTTTAAGCTTAAACTTGAATAATAAGCAAAAAATTAATTAGGTCATTAAGAACCTAGATCTATTTATAAATTAATTTGGGGAAATCCGTCTACAAAGAGGCTGATTAAATCACATGACGACAAAATGGAGACTATAATAACATGAATTGTAAACAGTATCAGTAGTCTTAGTTGGTGCAAACAAAAACTGAAAAGGAACTGTAATAAAATTCTCTCCTGGTCAAAGTGCACAGTAACATGGGCTGTGAAGCTTTGTTTAGTCTTTGGCGTAAATGGATTAGATTTGTAGTCATTCTTGTTTATGTAGTTTTATTAGTAATCGCCGTACCTCTGTGCATTTGGGAACTGGAGAAAAAAGGAGCACCAGATCACGTTCAAGCATGGTTTGTTGGAGGGATGTTTGTGCTTATGGCTTTGCCGATATCCTTTTGGGGAATACTTCAACATGTATTAAACTACACGACTCCCTATTTACAAAGACATATCATACGGTAAGTGGACTTAAATTAAATAATGTTAAATTTTAAAATATCTAACTGTTCTAACCATTATCATTATGATGAATGATGGCAATAGACTCTCAATAGAGGGGTAACACTAACAAAGTAACAAAGGTTGGTGGGTGAGTATTATAATTATATGCCATAGGCCTAGGTAAAATCACGATATAGCGTCGGTTATTATTCCGGAACTGTACAGCAGTAAAAAAACAGTAAAACCATGGGGTAGTCTGTCGAGCCGTTCCGGAAACCACCGGAAATACTGTAAACCATCATTTATTTGCCGCCATATTATTTTTAATACATAATGTTGAAAAATGTGCCAGGATTGATTTTAGTTGCAATTTAAATACTGTTTTGCTAATTATTTTGTATTTCTAATTATTTTAAGTGTATGTGCTAATTATTGCTGCTACTAAACATTATTCTAGTTATTCTTACTACTTTTAACTTTAGTAAATCTAATCGTCTTATTTACTAACAGAACTAGAGCTGGTTGTCGCAAATCTTCTGCAAGTTTTTTCTGTTTCTTAAAAAAAAATAATTAATTACTACACTCGACTTTATTAATAATATTTAGATTTACTAATCGTCTCTATTTTTTGTCAGTTAAACATTAAATTAAGTTAAAACATTAATTTAATGCACTTGACTTTATTTTTCTTTCAACGGTCAAATAAACTATGGTTTACAGTAACGAATGTTTCCGAAACTCAACGAACATTACCCAATAATTTCCGACGCTATATCGTGATTTTACCTAGGCCTATAATAATTTATATATAACGAGCCGACCCGCAGCGTATCATACGCTGCTATTTAGTTTTTTTTTTTCTACTTTTCAGTAATTTATAATTTGTGAATTCGACAGTACCAATGCTGCCACTGAAAATATTTGCTTAAAAACACTAAACCCCCTTCCCCCCCCCCCCCCCCCCCCCCACGTGAAAGCAGCCTCCTCTTAGTTACCTCCTCTAAGTTTAAAATCGTTTCAAACTAAATTATCTGCCCCTAATAGCCGTCACCAAACCCGTCTCTATGATTGTAAAATGTAAACAGAGTGAACACCGCTCACCAGATCATGTGGGGGGGGGGGGGGTGGGGGTGATAGTGATAGAGAGGAAGAGAGGGGACTGCAAAGGCGCGCTTGCAGCTTGTTTTCTAACTGATCCCAGAAGAGAATTATATATATAGATATATGGCATTATATATGCTATTGACTATTTGCATTGGTATTGGACTTTGTAGAAGTATGAACTATTATGTACTATGTACATAGTGTACTAGGTGGGCCAATCATATTTTATTAAAAAATTATTTTAGGCCTGGTCTTCTCTATGTTATAAATAAATTCAAATATTATTTCTACTATTTTATTTCTTCTCTAACAGTGTTTTATGGATGGTCCCAGTGTATGCCTTGAATGCGGTAAGTTTGATTGACTATAATTATAAGATCATTAGTGATAGTGACTAGCGATTTTTTTCTCACTCTGCATTTAAATTTAATATGCTCGTAATCACGTCACTAGTGAGAAAAAATTAAATTCGAATTTTGAAAAAAGAAAAAGCAAAGACATCCTTTCTTATGGTGTGGCCATCACATATTGTACCACTCTATCACACTGCATCATACCAAATTTGAAGTTTTTTGTTTAAGTGTATTATTATATTAAGATCCATTCTGACTGGGATTCAAAGGGACGACTCAAAATATCATCCAAAATCGCACCCTCTAGATTTTTGTCAGCAATGAAAATTCTTGTGAAAATTGCTAATGGATAATGATTAAAACAAATTTATACTCTATACTATACATATTGGCTTATAGGCTATAGATTTATTTAATATATTCTCTATAATATGCTTTACCCTTGCTTGTTATTTTACTCTGGCTACTTTATGTATTTTAGAAATAGCCTTTACGAAACATTTTATTAATGAAATCAACAGTATCATATCCTAATACACAGAGCGCATATTTTAGGCATAGTCTTAATATTGATTAATTATCATTTACAATCAGCACAATGCATTATTTAAAAAATATTTTTACAACAAATCAATATGACAAGAACTTTGGCTACCAGGTATTCTTAAAGTTGAAATGAAATTTTCTTCTTTTAGTGGTTTGCACTTAGATTTCCAGAAGCAGCCATTTACCTTGACACATTACGAGAATGTTATGAAGCTTATGTTATCTATAATTTCATGGCCTATTTGCTGTCATTCCTTTATCATGAATATCCTGACATAGATGAACAGGTAAATAGCTAAATATAATTCTATATTGATGTTTGTTGAATTAAGTTATCCATTTTTTAATTAGTTTGGTAGTTTAACAAATTAGTCTAAACAGAGAGTTTATTGTTGAATTTGAACACCAGAGAAATAAACACAGAGAATTTATTTTTGAACAATTCATATATTTTTTAGTGTAATAATAATTATTAAAAAATTGCTTTTTGTATAGCTGCTGAAATACATTTTTATTGTTCTTATATAAATACAGGCTTGGCATAATAACTGTTTTTCTAACTTCCTGTTTTAGGTTGAAAGTAAACCACCAATAAGTTTTCTTTTTCCCCTTTGTTTGCTGCCACCTTGCAGTGATGGGAGGTAAGTTTAGTGTATATACAGATTTTTAAATTGGTTTACAGGCAGATATATAAATAGTATTATTATCACTTCATAGGTGTGTAAAAATAAGTAAAAAATTCCTACTGCTGTTTTCCAGAAAGTTTATTCAGAGATGTAAACATGGTGTGCTGCAGTATACCATTGTCAGGCCTCTCATGACTATCATTGCATTGTAAGTAACACCTAACAGTTTGTTAAATATTTCATAATTTTAGTTCTATATGTGTGTCCACTTATTTGATTTTACTTTTTTTTATCTTTACATTTCTTTTCTTCATGGGAATATTTAATATATACAATGAAATGCTTTATGTTGTTTGTTTATGTTTTAAAACCCTACTTAAAACAGCATCTGTGAAATGTGTGACAAGTATGGAGAGGGAGACTTTAACTTTTCTACTGCCTGGTCTTATATTGTCATTATTGGCAATTTTTCACAAATTGTGAGTGTTTTTTTGTAAATAGAACTTGTTATATCCTCCATTATGTTTTATCAAACATTATAATCATAATATTTAGCTGTTGAGCTTTGATATTAATGCACTAAAACAACTGTGCTTGGTCTCTCTGACAGTTTGCTATGTACTGTTTAGTGCTGTTTTACAAAGCATTCCGACATGAACTGAAACCACTAAAGCCAGTACCCAAATTCCTTTGTGTTAAAGCTGTGGTTTTCTTGTCATTTTGGTAAGTTTTCTTATTATTTTGGTAAGTTTTCTTGTTATTTTAATGTTTTCTTATTATTTAGATACATTTCAACAATGGAAAGTAAAATGTTATGTAATTGTAGGGCTTTACCTATTGAAAATTAAATGTCTTTGGTCTGACAAATGTTAAATCAAGTGTTATAAAATATTTCTGCTAGGCAAGGTCTGTTTATAGCAGTCCTCACCAAAACTAATGTCATTCCTTCCAATGGTGCTTGGGTGTTCTACAAGGACATCAAACAGGTTTCAACAGGAATTCAGGTATGTTAATTCATTGCTCAATCATGAATGATTTGTAGGTAGAAGATTTTTTAAAATGCTTTTCAGTCGCATATGGAACATTATTTTTATTTATTTTAAGTCCAGTATTTAAAATTCATTTTCTTTTAGTAAAACAGTTTTATTGTAATAATTTTTGCAGGATTTTCTCATCTGCATTGAGATGTTTTTAGCTGCCATTGCCCACTATTTCTCATTTTCCCACAAACCATTTGTAAACATGGCAGCAGACCAGCAGGACTGTTGTTCTTCCTTCATGTCTATGTGGGACGTCAGGGATGTAACGGGGGACGTGGTGGAGCACGCCAAGTACATAGGTTTGTACTAACTAGCCTCCATCTAGGAGCCTTTGAGGTTTCCTATAAATGCACAGCATGACTAGTTTACTTTTGTTTCAAATTCACTATGTGGTTTGTAATTTATCACATTCACTTATTTATACAATTTACAGTTCATAAGGCAATCTGAAGCTGATTAAAAGTAATAGTTTACAAAAAAAATCTGCTAGTACCAAGCTAAATTAAACTTTGAAGGGGATTATTTTGAATATGCATGTTAAAAATGTTAGATTTTTAGAAAAAAAAAAGTAATTAATGTGGAGTAAAAATGATTCATTTTTTATTTCATTAAAGGACAAGGTATCCAGAAAAATTTGAACCGCGGTAAGCGTTTGATAATGAAAAGTGATGGAGAGAGAACTCCTTTACTTGCTGATAACAGTCGGTCACCAAACCCTGCCCACAACTTTCAAAGTGCAAACCCAGCGGTCATGGCTGAAGATGACAGTGTGGCTGACTTTGACACGGCTAACAAATCCACTTCTAGCATGAACAATTATGCTATTTTTGAAAACAGCACTGAAGCTCAGCTTGAAGGTCTCTCCAGGTCAGTAAGTTTAAAGGCCTACGAGAGTGGGGATGATGAGCCTGGTGGTTCTGCACATCAACCTTCACTCAGGGCAGTTGACCAGGACAAGATTTCAACATCTGAGGTGGTAAATAAGGATAATTACACTACTGTTACAGTGCATCATCTAGACACAAGTTCATCTGACCAAACAGAAAACATCACGGCTAACTATGATAGTGTATTTGAACATCTAGATGTTCATGAAGAGGATAGAAAATCTCTTCCTGACAACCCGCCCAGTTCAGGACAGTCACAAATGAAGGAGGCACATCTCCCCTCAGAGGAGTCACGTCTCCCCCCAGAGGATCAATCTGATTCTGTACAAGCTTCCCAGCTACAAACTTCAGTAAGTCTCAGTTTACCAGACATGCAGTCTCACAAGCAACATGAAACAACTGCTAGTACACAACCTGATCTAGAAAAATCAATTGCTAGTACACACGCTGAGGTTGAAGAAAACGCCATTAGTACACAACTTGAACAAGAAGAAACACCCAGTGCCCATCCTGAGACCTACAATAGAATCGATGACCCGGTTGTTTGATTCTTCTTGTCCTTGTGCAAGTATCCACCTTCAAACATTTATACCACCAGAAATAAGAACATTTGAGGTTGAGTGATTTTAATTTTAAGATATAAATTAAAAAAAAAAGCTTCTTATAATTAAAAGAATTGCTATGCATGTTACAAACTCTTTAGTGTGTAGTTTTTAAATTTGCTTTCATATTTAAAAATATTTTCTATTATAAGTTAGGAAAATGTCTATAAAAATCAAACAATGGAGTAAAAAAAGTGTGTAATTCATGTGTGATTAAACTACCAGAAATACATATTTTTGACAATAACGTGACTGTTAATTTAGTGTGCATGGCAAGATTGATAGAGTTGCAAGCCTTGTAAATTAGGGAAACCCAGATAGCAATCACAGATGTTGAATATTATTCCAACTAAGGTGGCTGATACTCACCAATCTCACAGTTTATACACATTTGTATTTAAAAAAAATTATTTATTAAAATGTTAATGTTTTTTTTAACTTTAGTTTTTTTAAAATATACCTCAGGTAATTTTACACCTTCCAAGACCGTTAGAGAAAAAGTTCTTTTGGAATAGTAATTTTCTTGTAACTAATATTTTTAAATTTTTTCATTATATGTTATAAGCAACTTTTTTTAGCTCTTCATTATTCTCTTAGAAAAAGATATTCTGACCATGCACAATCTTACACGACAGTGGCTTAGACTTGATAATGTACTTCAGAAATTAAATTTTGACGCAGGGCTTGGTTGGACTTGACTGACAAAACATTTATTCATCATTTAAAGTTATTCTTATATATATATTTCATGCAAGTGCTTTACATCAATTTTTAAAAATACTCAATGTCTTTCAATTTCACATAATAATGCATATTTATTTTGCTTGTGCCCAGGCAAAGAATTTTTTATCATTTGCAGATTGCTTTCTGTAGGGAGTAATTAAAGAAGGAAATGTTAAAGTATGCCTCTTGATAAACATTTCACTGTTTAATATGGTACCGCTGCTTCAGTTGTTTATAAATATGTAACATTTAAAAAAATATTTTCTATATTTTTTAAATATGAGTTTTTCAACAATTCAGTTATGATCTGAATATGAATATTTTAAACATATAATTTAAAAAGTAACAAAAAAAATAGCCTAGTACAATAATGTGATCTCTACAAGTGCATTAAAATGTGTCTACAAAATTCATTTATGTATCGTCTGAAAAAGTATTTGAAATTATAATTGGTAATTAATAATTTTCAAAATAATCATACCATATGAATGTCTCAAGTTTTATTTTGATTGATTGTAATATATTTTGTTGCTTGATTTTTGTCTTATTTGTAATAAGTAATAATATTTTTTTAAATAATTGAATAAATTTGTAAAAACTGGTAGAATCAAAAAAGAGAATTTTATATGCTGTATGTAAATAACATTTTAAATCAGTATTTAAAGCACGATTAAATAAATGATTATGTTCATTAATTATACTCCCACATTATAACTAATACTAACCAAAATGAAATTTAAGAAAACATGTTTCGATTACACTTTAATGGCTAACTATTGAAAGTAAAAGAAATGTTTATCCGACACAACAAAATGACATATTACTTTAATGATGGTTACATTTTTATGCTTACCATTCATGGGCTATAGTAAATACGTAATGCTATATCAAATGTTTTTATTTTATGTAGGACTAGATAAATAATGTGCAAACCATGTAAATAAAGTTGTTAAAGATTTTTTTGTTGCTCTTATTTTTTTATATAAAAAAGTAATACTTTTTATTATAAGCTTCCATTTAGCGGACAGTTATTGTGGGTTTGTGAACTGTGGGTCATGGATGGTTCACATGCCTGACAACAAAAGCGGGCTAAGAAGAAGCTGATAATTGTCTTTTAGCTATCATGAACTGATAGTTTATAGCACATATTTTTAGTCTTGTACGTATTGCTAAGAACAGAATACAAAAAAAAACAACTAAAAGATCAACTAAATACTTTATTTTAAAAATTTATGTTAGTAAAAAGTAGAAAATATAATAAAAAAGAAAAACCTTTACAATAATAAACTTTTAAATGCACTGAAAATTATAAAAAATAAAATAAATTTGCTTTCTTTTATCAAATGCAAACCAAAATAATTAATTTGTAAATAAATGTATAACAAAACTATGTACTGGCATGAAATAAATAATTTAACAGATTAATACTTAAAGTAAAAATTCTGAAAGTCAGATTATTTTAAATGCTTTAATAAACTGGCGATAACTGGCAAAAATGCTTCAACAACCAGAACAATGATATATATCATAATTTTTTTTACCCGAGATTGATCAATAAAAATGAAACCTTTCAACATGAAATAACATGAACATATTTGATCACTTAAAAGATCATATGGATGAATAATGTTGCTGGCTCTGGGTAAGGTCCTAGTTAACAATTTATTAAAAATAGAACTAGATCTATCTGGCTATTGATCACATGGTCTTTTTGAACACACCCACCCTAGTGTTAATATCACCAATGTTTGATATTTCAATCAAGATTTAAACAGAATTTTGTATATTTTGATTACCTGAAATTACCAATTAGGATATAAACATGACTCTTTTGAAGTGATTATATACATATATTACATGACTAATTGTAGAAATTAAAGTCTATTTACAGAGAATTTCTTAACAGCAATTCAATTATTAAAAATTACATGAACACTTAATAAATAAGATTTCATCACAAATTTCTAATGCTGGAAATAAAGTTGTAAAGTTTGTCAGTAGTATTCCTGGTAGTTCAATATGACAAGTAATATTTAATTGAAGGTAGATTTATTGATAAAATAAAGAATGACATTTTAAAATAATTTCTCCACCATAAAAAATAATTAGGCGAATGCCTTAACTGAAAGGACAAGTTATTTGTTAATGTTGAAATTGATGGCAGAATTAGCCAATCTACAACTCAAATCCAATATGTCCCCTGTGTCAACGCTCCATTTCCTGTTGGCCATCACTGCTGCCTGTTGCCAGTGCAGATGGCTGTCAAGGGTGTTAACTCTCACTGTGGGTGAGATATGAAGCTCAAACCAATAGACAAGGGCAGTCACACAGCCAGGGTTGACAACAGAGACCTAAAGGGGTTAAAAAAGTTTTAAGACTTTAAAAAAGGGATATTTTACTAGAAGCAATTTTTAACAGAAATAAATATTTCTACAACTAATGTTGAAAATAACCAAAGTAAATATATAACATTTAAAAATCTACCTTTATTTGTTTGTGTTGTTCCATTTCTGTTTCATCATCAGTTACAGAGCTTGATGTTTTACTAGGGCTGTCTGTCAGGTTAACTTTTCTTCGTTTTATACCATCTGCTAAAACATTTTCATTTTCTAGAGAGTTCCCCTCCACTGCAAATTCTGAAGATATCCTCTTGGCATGAGTTTTATCTTGGGTTACAAGTTTGTCAGACACAAAATTTGAGTTGGCATCGTGTCCACTTGTGTCAGGTAGTTCTGAGAGAGGTGTAAAGTTCTGATCCAAAACATGCTCATGTTCAGAGGACAGCCCAACAGACTTGCAATGTGTACCTGTTCAGAATAAAAGAATACACTAGTAGTTTAAGACCTGCTTGTTTTCATTTCAAATTAGTCTTGAATAACTATACACAAATATTTATAAATTTCAATGGGGTTTGAGTTAACTTTTCCAACCTTCCAGAAAAAATAAAATTGTCCTACAATATTTGTTTCTATAGTGTATTAACATGTCTATTAGTCTCGTGTTAAAGTTTTTCTAATAACTTATTAAACCTACCAATAGTTAAAAAAAATCAAATTGAACTATGTGAAACTACAGATCTTAATAATCACAATTTAAAAGGATACAAGATTTGTAAACATAGAAAATTTCAGTTAAAGTTCTTGCCTTGTTTGGCCAGTGGCCCATCTAGCTCTGTCTTGCTGGTCACACTACATCCTGCCTGATTGTCTTCAGGAATAGCTTTAGTTTCATTCAATCCATCCATCATTCTAGTGAGATTCAAAGTAAACATCTTGAAAGGTTTGGATAGTTTTGTGTGTGTTAGAGTGCTCAGAGTGATGCCTTGGTAGTTACTTGACTGAAAACACACAGAGTATAAAGGTAAGGATTACCAGTGACACAGATAATACCAACATAAAAAATAATTAACTTGTTAAACAAAATACAAAAATAAATTCCCGATGTCGATTGAAACAAAAATGGTAAAATTAATTTATAAACATTTTTTTTAAAAGCTTTTTTTTTAGAGCATCATGCATGCCCTTTCCTCCCCAGTTTTGGTGATTGCCAATTCTAACCAGAATTCAACATCTAAAAATTTCATTCATGCTCTATGCATACTATTTTTTTTTAATTGTGGAGATAGACATTTGTCTAGAGCTAATACTTAATACAGTTAAAGAAGAAAGTTATCAATGTAACTTAGGATAAATGTGGATGCAGAACAAAGTTTAAAATAAAGCCAAAATCTTACTGAGAATTTGTTAAAAAAACTAGCAATGTTGTAGCCAAGTGTGTTGTCATCATTTTGAATACGACTGAGGCGAAGTAAATCTTCCGATTCCACCAACACACCAAAGACTTCTACACAGTATGGTAGAACTGTCTTTTTCACGTAGTTAGACATACAATACCTATTAATAGAAACAATCAATAAAGTTGAAAACAAAAAGTTTTAAAATATTGATAATGTCAATGGATTACAATTTTATTTACCATAAACAGTTTTGGAATATTTTAAAAAAAATGATGACATGGCAAAAAAGTTAACTGCAATGGTACACCTTTTTTTTTACTGGGCAGAGAAGCTTGGATAAGTATACAAAAAATGTATGATAAATTATATTTACTTGGCAACTTTGAGTTGGTCAGACAAATTTTCCACCATCCGTCCTTGAAAGTCTACAACATCACACAAGAAAACAACAGTTTTCTCTGCTTCAGGTGACACTTTGGAAGATTTTTCTCCTGTGGGACATTCTTGACCTGTGCCTGATGCTTGGCCTGCTTGACCCCCATCTGGTTCCTCCCCAGGGCGGTGCTGAGATGAAAGTTCTGAGTCATCCTGCCCTGGGATGTCTAGCATCTCAATGAAGCCATCAAGATCTTCCACTAAAGTAAAGCTATGGTCTTGAAGGCAACACTCTGTGATGAGTGTTTTCAGCAGTGATAAATGAATGGGGTTGTGGGAAATAGCTGTGCAGTGATCATAGCCTAGTTTTGAGGCCTGGGGATGTTAAATAACCAACATGTTAAAAGTATGAGCATACTTGTTCTTATAAGATTTTTCAGATGCTTTGTGTATTAATAAAAACAGCTTTAAAAGTCAATACTTACTGCTAAAACCATGGGAGAGAATCCATGATTAAGATGAACAAAATCTAAGGTAATTGTCCTTGGTTTGGAGATAATCTTCCTTAGACAGTTGTATATTAGATTGTGCAAGTTGTTGTTGTTGAGGTTAATAACTTCCCAGTCACTCAAGCAGTATACTTGTTGGCTACACCAATCCAAAGGGTTGCTAAACAGCTGACAACATTCAATAGAGTTCTTTCATATGACGTCACGTCCGTTCGTGATACCTACGCCCGCCGCCACAGTGGTGTACACAAGACGTAAACACAATCAGCTGTTCGCCAGCGCTGGACGTGTTCACCAGCGCTGGACGTGTTCACCGTATGTAAAGAACCGCACCCGCGGAAAAGGAAAAATACGTTAAAAAACTTGAACTCTTAGGAATTGAAGATCCTTATACTGTTATTGACAGTTTCGTATAAATAAATATGTGGACAAAATTTCTAAATAAAAATACTGTTAGTAATACTGTTTGCGTTTAGAGTTAAAGTAGCCGAATCTGATCAAATGCAGTTCTCGATACTTTGTTTCATGTAAGGACAGTAAAATAATAAACTTCATTTTAATTATAAAAGATAACTATTAATAAAACAAATATGCTCGACCTTCACAAATACTAATAGTAAAAGACAAAGTCAAAAGTAATAGGCTAATAAGAATAATAAGATCTAACAGTAGGCCTAATACCTGGCTCCGCTGGGTAGACATAGAATCTAGAATCTACTTCTTTACTTAAATTTAATTACTTTAGATCTACATTCGATTCAAAATACACCCATAATAAATCAAAAGTAGTCATAATAGGCCTAATAAAGCATTTAATTGTCTCTAAGATCTAAAATCTCGCTCTATTATCTAATCATTTTTTTAGCAAACGAAATTTTCTGAAATTGAAATAGATTAGGCCTATATGACTAGACTTAGATCTAGAATCTGCTACTTAAATTAAATTGTAAAAACTTTATACAAGCATGTAGTTGATATTATTGTAGTAGAAGGCTTTAATAAATTACTAAGGCCTACCTACTTTGTTGTCTTTTTACAGTAATATGTATCTAATACTGGACTGAGTTTAATTAAATTCAAATTCATATCTAGTAATTGGTCTACTAAGTTTTTGTAGCCTAGTAGTACAATCTAGATCATACCAGCCAACAACAAATAACCACATTATTATTATTTGGTTAATGATTAGGCTAAATTTTTTTTTTAAATCCACTGTTTATAAAAGAAACAAATCAAGCTAGAAACATTATAAGTGAGATGGTTTAGAATAATAACAATGGACCCAGTCTACAATTGATACAATTGCAGGTCTACATAGGGCCTACAGTCTAGTAGTTTACAGTAGGCACCTAGTGTGTAGCTAGTATACTAGTGTGTAGCTGTCCAGAGTTAAGATTCTTAATGCCTTAATGCTTTCCCCTGATAAGCCGTGTGTGCTATAAATGACATAACATGACACCGAGGTGAGAAGTGTTGAGGGGAGAGCAGTGGGACTTTCCCCTTTGTTCTCCCTGCTGGGCCCTGAGGGTCAAAATTATATAAGAAATACTATCTCTGTGGGGCTGGGTATCACGGAGGTGAGACATTTTCAGGGGAGGGCAGGGCAGACTCCTCTTTGGTTTTATTGTGGGCTAGATACAGGTGGGGGCAGCCATTATGAGAGTTGAACGTCAGTATTAATGTGTCTGATTACTTCCCTGCTGGATTATAAGGGTCTTAAATTGTATAACATGCTATCCAGATTGGTTATTACCCATGGATTATATTAGCCGTTGTAGTGTGGGTTTTGTAGGAGTTAAGTAGTCTCACGTTTGCTACAGTAGATAACCTCTTACTGCATTTGATCAGCTTCGTCTACTTAAACTCTAAACGCAAACGGTATTACTAACAGTATTTTTATTTAGAAATTTCGGCCACATATTTATATTATCCACGAAACTGTCAATAACTGTATAAGGATCTTCAATTCCTAAGAGTTCAAGTTTTTTAACATATTTTTCCGCGGGCGCAATTCTTTACATACGGTGAACACGTCCAGCGCTGGTGAACACGTCCAGCGCTGGCGAACAGCTGATTGTGTTTACGTCTGATGTACACCACTGTGGCGGCGGGCGTAGGTATCACGTGATTTAGGTCACGTGTTTGCAAGGACTCTATATGATTGGGTTATTGTTGAGCTAAACATTAAACAATGTATTATAATTATTGAGTCATCTTACTTGTCCACAAGTGTAGTTATCTACTAATGGCTGATCAAAGACAAATTACCTTTGGGACATCACTAAGACTAGGTGGCTGACTTTCTTTGCTGGTCAGTTGTATTACATCACTAACAGTCATGCAAAGCTTCCCTCCCTTCACACACTGAACAACATTAATATTGTCTCCCTTGTAGACATTTAGATTCAACCTCGAACCTTCTGAGATAAAAATTATCAATTTGTCATAACATGAGAGTCAGATTTTGTAAATTTATGATACAAGATTTTCATATTTTTCTATTGAACATGATAAACAGTTTCAAAGTTTTACCTCTAGATTCAAGTTTTTCTATAGCTTTGGGAGTGTGAACAGAGAAGATAGCCTGCTCCCAGCAGCCATTACAGTTGGTGTGGGTTGAGATTTGAACATTATCACTCAGGTCTAAGGAAAACCACATGGCTAAAGCATCTAGTCTTCCGTCCTCAACTATATTCACACACAGTTGTTTTGTTATTCCTTGGTTTAATTGATGCAGATCCTAAAGTTAGGTCAAAGATATTCTTATCGAAATACCAAAAAAATATTCATAAAACCTCTTTAAAATTAATTGTTATCTATTACATAATTATAATTTTAAAATAACTTTTAACAAAGATATATTTTTTTACTTGAGGATTGTTGAAATCTACATCCATAAATTGTATACAGGGAGATAAACTTTTGTATCCTCCAGGCAAATGTTTGAGATCATGTGTCGTGTAGGGGTCTGAATCACACATTCCGATAGTACTGCAGATGATGATATCACTAAGGTTGAGGTCACAAAATTGTCCTGCAAATCTAAAATAAAAATATTAAATACATCAGTTTGAAACAACACAAATCATCAAAACATCTTTAAAAAATCTTTTCATTTATTAATTAAGGATATAGTTATATTATCATTTAAGATAAAAATGACAATCAATAAACAATATGTTTATATATTTAGATATTATTACCTATTTTCATTACAAATATAATCAGATTCAATGGCTTGCAAATACAATGTAGCTTTTCTTGGGATTACCATTCCTTTCTGCAATGTTAACAGAATTATTTTAAAACACATCAAAGAAATATAAAACAGACATTAACTTCTCAAACTGCACTAAAAATGTCAACCACAGCCTCTATGTAATGTAACCTCTGTACAATGTGATTTACAATAACAAGTTATATAAATAAAACTTACTTCCTGCTCATTCTTTAATAAATTGGACCATGCATGACAAAGAGTAGGTAAGATGCCTTCACCAAAAAGACCTGCATCGAAAGTTTCTGTAACTAGGATATCTGCTCTAAATAATTTAAAAACATAGTTAAGACGTCTTAACACAGTATGTTGCTGTTTATAAACAAGTCTTTAAAACAGTTATAGGTTTTCACAATAACAACTTACTTAAGTGGCATATGGACTGGGATCCGCATTTCAGTAGACATTTTATTAATAACCTTCACTTTGTGGATACAATCTTCAACTAGATTTGCTCTAAACACTTCATTGGCTACATTACACATAATAGATGATTTTTCAATGGCAAATACATGACTGCAGTTACTTTCTTGACTAGCAATTAGACTGAGAAAAAAGAATTAAATCATCATAATGCACATTAAATATAGCTACTGAACTCTAAGAAAAGGCCTCTAAACATTAACAAAAAAGTTTGAAAATAAATACTTTACATATTCAAGAATGATCTCCAACAGAAGTTTTCATTACAATACTTTTTAAAATAGCCTATATACTGCATATACCTTAATAACCCTGTTCCACACCCAACATCACAGACTGCTATCTTCTGATTAAATTTTCTAATTTCATTACACAGAGCTTTTTGATAGGCTTGGTTCCTTGACTTGTCATTCAGCATTATAAAGTGCCATCTCTCAACAAGATGACAGCACATATTTTCATAGGTTTCTTGGGCTAAAATTGAAGACGGTTCTGAATGAAGTGCCCTAGTTGCCAAAAGTAGACTTTTTTCAAAAATTTTCAAACTGAAATGGAAAATAAGTAAAGAGTAACATTTTGTGTTTTGCGATTTACCAACACTACACCCTAATAAATAAATTATGTTCACTACCTGAAAAATAATGATGCAGCACTGCATAATAACTGCGTTGTGACAGCTGATAGTCTTTCATAACTATTCAAAATACTCTCTATGGCTTGCTTTATACTTTGCTTAGTTATTGTTAAATTCACATTCTTTGTCTCATCCTTCGCAACATACAGAGCACACTGATTTATTGCCAGACAAACATTGTTCAAAATATCTAATTCTAATGGAATGCTATTTGAACACATTCTACTTCTATGTCTTGGCGTGTTCATCTCTCTTTTGTCAGTGTGCTGTTTTAAACCAAGCGAAAAAAGCTTCAATGAACTGACTGGATCTTCATTATAAAATGCCTGTTCTGCTGATTTGCATACAGTTTCAACGTCTATATACTCTCCAGAGTTAGTTAGATCAATTATGGATTTGCAAATATACGTCCATGATGATGGTTGCATTTCATTCTCGCCTGAGGAGCTACTCGTTTCTTCAGAGCATGAATCTGTATCAGTTTCGGTGTCTTCCATAGTGCTGATAGTCAAATAATAATCAAGAGTAGGGGGCTGCCATTTTTTTAGTAATAATATTTATAAAGATTTAGGACCAAAAATGTCATAAAGATACAATTCAAATAAAATAAAGCAACAGTTGCTAGACATTTTAGCTATGTTGCAGGTATAATATAAAATACATTATTTGATTATTCATATCTTAAAATTTACTAGATCTAGAAAAATTTCTTTATAGCTATAAATTTACTAAAATCGGATATCAATTTAAAATTTTGCGAAACTATTCATTATTATTTTAAATTTATCGAAACAGGATGTAAATACTTCTTGATTTCGCTGTAATAAAGAACTCTACAATAACAAATACTAGACTAAATACAACCATTCTGTAAAAAAAAAATCAAAATTCAATAGGCCGCCTAGTTAAATCATAAATCTAGAGGCCTAATCTAGGCCCTAGGCATATAGATCTACTACTTTAGATTAATTTGAGACTGAGATTCTAGAGACTTTTACTAGATTCTTCTTAGTTTATTACCTTTTAGTTTTTAGTCTAAAGTTGGAAAAAAAAATACTCCACTGTTGTTTCAATGTTTGGTTAGGACCTAAAAATTTTTAAAATATTAAAATTTAAATTAATTTTAATAAATGAGCAGATCAGTGAGTTGAGTGTTGTCATTGTTTTTAGATGTAAATGTAGACAGTTGTAGAGAGTAGTAGATCTAGTGCTATTCCGACAACACAGTCATCACGACGTCACAACCCAGCCATAGTCCATACTGACTACTTCTGAGTCATTCTGACCATATGGCTTATGATGCCATATAATTAATGATAGTTCAGTTAGTACGTTTCTACTTCAGTACTGATTCCTGAGTAAATGAGTAGTGTCAGACATTCCTGATAGTGTGACTAGCTAGTAGTACAATCTCTCTGTCAGTTCAAAAGTTGAGTACAGGTACACCAAGTTAGTACAGTCTACTAACTAAACTGCTACTCAGGTAATAATCAAATAATGCAATCTAGATTTATATTTTTCAGTCACTTTAGAGGTAACTAAAAAATCCTAATGTATAAAAGCCCATGTGCACACTTCTCTCTCTCTGTCAGAAATATATTTTTACAGGCTATGATTTCAGTATCTTCAGCGATATATGGAGAACTTGATACAGACTTTTGTTGAAAATAATATGTTAGATGTTTTAAATGTATAAACTAAATTGTATTTAAAGAAGTAAAGTAAAATAAAAATAAAGGCATATTTGAATGTAGAAAAACTATTTTTATTTATGCAACCGCAAAAGTGTTTATAGTTGTGACAAGAACGCAATAAACAATGACATCACATGCAACATGCTTTCACTACTATTTCATTCAAATATGATTTAGATCTATGGATCTACTTATCGGGATGTACGCTATGAAATGTATTCAATTTTCTCGGCCAAAAGTAATACAAATTAATTTAAAAAACAACAGAAATACCATTGAACCATTTAAAGGAATCGTTTAATTTTCGTAATCAGTGTGTTCATTTAATATTTAATACAGTGTTGTGTTGACTAATAATTTATATAATTTGGTTTTCTAATAGGTATTGGTAGCCTATGTTATTTTAAATGTGTCGGATTTTTAGCTTTTTAGTTATTTCTTTGCTTTGTCATTTCTTTGCTTTGTCACTAATATCATTCAACGCATAGTGAAGTACATTGCGTTTTGACCAATAACTATTTTATACAATATTTTTCAAACAAGTTTAACATTAGAAATATATAGATCTATAATTCACATGTAACGGGCACGCTAATATAATATCAGGCCATAACACAACAATCTGAATTTATGTAGAACTACAGATTTAAAATTCTAAATTATTGGTAGCTGTAAGAGTAATAAATGTTAATTACGCTTATTTTAAGAATGTGTCCTATTATGATACTCCACATTCACGTAAGCAATTTTTCTTGTGATCTGTGAACTAGTACATATGTCATGTTACCTGTTAGACTGTTATTTCAGTTTTTCTTACTTACATAATACATGCACCATTTTTTTCAAGCCAAAAAATCTTAAGTCCCGTATGTTCTTTTTAAATAACAGTGTTACAACTACTGATGATAGCTTTGTGTTTCATTTTAAAATTAGCTGTAGTAATTTAATTTACGTGTTATGTACTGTCTTTTCAGGTTACCGTTTAACTAAGTCATCATGTTGTTAAGACTAAAAGAAGTTATACAATGGACACGCATGACTGCATTTGAGCTGTTTCTTCATATATTATCAATACTAGTGTTTTCTGTACTTGTTGCAACAAAGATTGAAGGTCATCTGAATTCATCTTGGCCTATTATTTTCACCCCTCTTTTTATTTGTGATGGCTTGAATGCTTACCTTTGCCTTATTGTGTTTGTCAGACAGTATCGGGAATTTGATTTGAAGCAGGTTGGTATCCATAATTACTTAACTATTAAAGTAAACTAGGTGTAAAAAAATATCTATTAGTGTGTTTTGCTGTTCAGTTTGTAGAAGAATATTTTTATTGCCAAACTTCACTTTTCTCTCAAGGCTAGCTTACGTGTGGCAAGTTCTCTTGCAGTCATTGGTTTAATCTTCACCTTCAAGTTGCTTTTGTGTCAGAAGCTTGTCACTGGGAACTTGAGCTGCTCTGAAGTGTTTGCTCCTCTGTTTGTTCTCTCAAAAATTCTTATGATTAGAGCATGTAGAATGCACTAGACTTTTATATAAATACAGTGTACCAGAAAAAAAAGCAAGACCAATTTTGACTAAAATTGTTGATAACTTCAGAATTTATGTTTTGATTTTTGTTGATAATTATGATGGAAATAGGCCTTTTGTGTGGGTATTTTTTAAAATACCAAAATCTCTCAGTATTTTCATTTAGTAAACATTTGTATATTTTTTCATGACATCATTTTGTTTTTAAGTATGATTATATTTTGTATATATTATTATAAATATAAGAATGTTAATGTAAGTTTAATGCTGTAGTTTTTATTTGACTTTGTCTCAAAATTTTTAGACTTATTTATATTTAATAAATGCAAAGAAGTGGAACGTTATATATCCTGGTTTTATTTTTTGATTATTATCAATTTTTAGCAGCATTAAATTATATACACTGTATATAGTCATATTAGTGGGATATACAATTATTAGTGCTATTTTAAATGTGGAGTCATCTTGGAATTCAGCTTTGTTTTAGAGCTGTTATAGTTTGATAAAAAAGAAATATGGCTTATTATCTATATACTTTAGATTTATGTCACAGAAGTAATTGAGTAGGGATGTGATGTACTTTTGGAGATATGAGCTCTCAATAAAAAAAAAATTACATCTATTAAACCTCAACATTATTGACTTAATTTTGATTCACACATTCTTCAAATAATAATTTCTAATTCTATACATTAAAACAACTAAATTTACCTAAGTGTGTATTTAGAAAATTAATTTGGAGTACCTGAATGCCCAAACAATGCATAAACTTTTAAACTGTCTGCACTATTTAGAAAACTCTTAAAATTTGGACTACTATTATACTCCACATTCATGTTAGTCTTTCCTTGTGATCTGTGAACTGGGATGTATGTCATCATTGGAAATTTGCAAATAGTATCTGGTGTATCGTATATCATCATCTGCAGTAGACATCAGCTAATTGTTACTTTAAAAAACTGGATTAACTATTATTAGAATCATTGGACTTGCTTCAATCTGTCTGGTTATACAAGAGTTGCTCTGTCATGTTCTGACTTGAGCACTTCTGCTTCTAAATCAAGCTTCTACCTAAGAATAAAGATAGTTTAAGTCCATCTTCTTATAATAATCATACTTTAATTTATGAATGTTAAGTAAAGTGTATTTTATTGTAACCTAGCCTATCATTTTCATTGTGTTATTTTTTAAATATCACAATTTTAATTTTAAACCTCTAAAGTGTTAAAGGTTAAAGTTGTCTTGATTTCAGTTATTAACAAAATAGGGTGGTGCTTGTAAATAGGCTGTATCTGTATGTAATTTCCACCACTCCCCCATCCACCACATAGCAGTCAACATTCAAGTTTCACTGGACTCCTCTACACACGTTATGTAAAACTAGAAAAATGTATCCTTCAGATATTTTGTTAGTGATTTTGAGTGGGGCATTTTGAAATTTCGGGAGGGTGTAGAGTAACTTGGGCAGTTATGAAGTTTTAGTGCATCCCATGTTTCTCATAATTTTGTTCAGTTAGTAGTTGTATTACATGTACGTGGTTGAGCCTTCAAATTGAGTGTATGAGCCTCAGATCTACTTTGTAGCATAAATAAGGCTGTATACTAAACTAACATTCAAAGGCTATATAAGAATGAATAATAATAGGCAGTCAAAGATTTATACTTCAATTTTATGAAACAGATATAAAAAAAACTTTATAAGCTTTAAATGCACTGAAAATAACAATAAAACAAAATGGCTTTCTTTAATGAAAGTATTGGTCGCTAAAATATGTAAGAGGTCACTTGAGCAACCAATGCTTTTATTAAAGAAAGCAAGTTTGTTTTATGTTCTTAATTTCAGTTTTTAAAGGCTTATTTTTATAAAGCTTTTTTATATATGTTTCAATTTCTACCTTTTAGTTATTCATTCTTAAAGAAGTCGAAACCATGTACGACTACAAATATTTGCTTTAAAAATTGTTCAGTAGCTTGTCTAAAAGACAACTAACTGCCCCTCTTTAGCCCATGGTTCACTTTCTAACAAGAAACCAACCAACCATGACCAAAGGTTTAACTTCAACTTCTAGCTGATAAAGTTTCACTATGTTATTGAAAAGAAATCCCTGCATTAGAAGTAGGTTAGAATTGAATTACAGGATCTGACACAGACATTGGAAATTGAATATAAAAACTTTAAAACAAAGTTAGGATTTTTTTGCCCTCTTACCAAGTCTGGTCTGGGACTATTCCCCACCCCCATCTCAACCAATTTGTATGTCCACAAGAATTTAAAAAGCTTGGTTTTCTCAAAGCATAATTCATAGGTCTATAGCTATGATTTCAATAGCAATTACCTTATTTTGATTTAGATTCTAAAATTTGTTGTATACATTGTTTGTATAGGCCTACCTACATTAATCATTATCGCTAATAGATCTAGTTTTTTTTATAGTGGGCCTATTTTACTTTATTCATTGAGAAAATGTTTGCTGTTGAGTAAAAGAAAAATCATAAATATGTTGGTGTTGGACAAAAAAAAAATAACTGAATTAGGGGGGGGGGGGGGGGGGAGAAGGGGGGGGGGGGTACAATTGTAGTGTGGTATTTTTATGATTTTTTTTTACTGCCAAAGTTAATTACAGCTGATTATGTACTCATATTACATAACTCATATGGAACCGACATAACCTCCCTTGGTCCACAAAATCGTCCATTCCGCAACTCCCCCACCCCCATTCCACCCGCGCATTTCGTGTGGACATCATTTATTAAAATACATGACTCCATACAAAAATCAACAAAACATTTCGATGCAATTTGGTAGGTTACAAAATCAAAAGATGTCTCCCCAATCTTATTGGTTTTACGTTAATTTTAATTTTAAAGTAGCCTAACTAAAGATCAACAAGGATCCCAGATATTGGAAATTCCCGATCTAATATCATTACGTCCCATTACGCAGATCAAATAAAATGTGGGTATTCCCCTTAAAAATTGAAAGTGTTATATTGAAACTGAAAGAAGTCAAGCACGAAAACGTTGTTTAGTTTACACAGAATCAGTCGATGAATAATGTGCTGTGTAGAAAAGTGTAAACCAAAATCAAAATACATAGCAATAGCTGTGATATTTTAAAAAATATCTATGCAGACCTAGATTTTTTCTAGATCTCTAGAATAGTATCTGGAAACTGGATTAGTATATAAGTATAGTATAGTATAGTATAGGCCTAATTGTAAGTATAATTTATTTAATAGTGTAAAGTGTAAATTAATAGTTAGATCCTATATATTACTATATAATATATTTGATTCATAGACGTTTAATGTTTTAATATTATGTAGTAATATGTAGATCTAGACTAGTCACTATCAGTTCAGGCTTGGTGTAGAACCAAGAAGGTCTAGATTCTAGATCTAGATCTGAATGATTCAGTAGTGAACGACTTTTATTATTAAAATTATAATAAAATATCCATGGTAAATCAGTTATTCAAGCATCAAGAAAATCAGGAAAACAATCTGGAGGTTTTATTTTTTCTAAACTAAGAAGTTATAGTTATACAAGGATCTATAGTATAGGTTAATAAATATCAAACAAGTTTGGAGGTAATAACTTGAGAACACAGTAGATCTAGGTACTTAGGTATCAAAGTGAAAGTAATAGTAATTTTTTAAAAGATATCTTATTAATAGTATTACATTGGTATGCACTATGCACGAAGATTTGTGTAACTAGCTTTATACTTATATATATATATATATATATATATATATATATATATATATATATATATATATATATATATATATATATATATATAGGTCCTATATATAGCCTAAAAATATATTATTTATATATGAAATATATCTGAAATTATATATATATATATATATATATATATATATAATTTCAGATATATTTCATATATAAATAATATATTTTTAGGCTATATATATATATATATATATATATATATATATATATATATATATATATATATATATATATATATATATATATATATATATATATATATATATATATATATATATATATATATATATATATATATATATATATATATATATATATATATATATATATATATATATATGTATACACTAGCAGACTAATGCAATTCTTTAATTGACCTTCCTGAGAGAATTCTCATTATTTTTAGAACTGTAGGAGAGTAGTGGCTTTATTTTTGTTAAATAAGTTTTTTTATGGACAAAGGGAAGCAACCAAGTTAATATTTGTGCAAACTAATCTTAGCATGGTTAATTCCTCTGATAACAAATAATTCAAAAATATTCCTTTTCTTTTATTATGGGGGAATTTTTCTTCATAAGCTCCTGAAAGTTTCATGGCAATTGGTTGAAGGTGTGATAATGGAAACACACACACACACATAACAACTTTTTATATATATAGTTCTATAATCTATAATTAATCGATCTATATAATATACATGTATACCCATATATATATATATATATATATATATATATATATATATATATATATATATATATATATATATATATATATATATATTATAATTTAAACATTTCACTTTAGATCAACTCCATTCAGTAAATTGTAATTTAAAAAGCTTTCCAAAAATGGAGGAAGAAGACGACCCATTTATAAGTAGGATGGGGTTGAAGCCTAACTCAGGGTGAGTAGAAAAATTGAAATTGAATAGAATCATATGAATGTTATAATTTGTTTGCATTTTTCTTCATAAAACTAATTAAAAATAAAATGCTAATGCAGTGGACTAGATACTTCTGAAAGCAAATGACAGTTACTTAAAAAAAACAACTGAAAATGGAAAGTTGAATTTTATGATGTTTGAGTCATGATATTTAAGCTAAACATCAAAGATTTAAAAAAGTATCTACCATGGTATTCATCAATAAGTTACAGATAATCTATTTTAACTGCTACAGCATTTTAACACACTTCCATTCTTATTCCCCTTAGCTTAATGTTATGTGTTTATATATTGGTTTTAACACTCATCTACCTAGTAAACTGACAATTTAACCTTATTCATTGAGCATGAAGTATGTCGTTTTTGTAGTTTTAACTTGTATTGTTAATGGATATCCATAGTCATCTTAAAGTTGGCAATGCTTTGTAATATTGATGGTAATTCATTACTGAAAGCTTCCCAAAAATGTTAGTAATTCATTCCTCATTTCTATTTTTCCAGTAAAAAGCCTCTACGTCCACCGACAATTAAAGAATTGAATACTATGTTGAATGAGAAAGATTCAGCCACTGTTTTGCTACGTATAGCCCGCGATGATGGTTGCTTTGAGCGATTACTCAAAGAAAACGAGCAGTCAAAGTTAGAACTTACAGTTAAAGTTCTGGGGAAGGCTTTGGAGAACGGAGCCCAACCACAGGCAGTGATTGATGTCATTAAATTATTCATGGATGCCGGAGATTTTTATGACAGCATCGGCTGGAGCCTTATGAGAAAATTGGGACAAGACGAAACATACATCAAAGCTGTTTTAACCATTTTTAAAGTTGCTGTAGAAAAATTACCTAATGCAGCTCCTAAAAGGCTGGCACACATACTTTTACCACTTTGTGATGTTATTGATGAGAAATTTCATGAACTGAGAGATCAGAAAAATTTGGTGAAGCAGCTTTTCAGAGGACCCCCACGACGTGTGCTAGAAGAAGAAGAGGAACAAAGACTTCAGCGTGATGAGGAATATGATGCAAATGCTTTTAGAGAACTGACAATAATTCCATCAGCCGAGGATCTTAATCCTGGACGTGATGTTGTTGTCCGTGCTAATAAGGTGCATGGACATTACAACAATATAAATGAATACCTTGATATTCAGGTAAAAACTCTGGTTTTTTGTTTAACCTGAATTTATATTTGTTTCAGTAAATTTTATTTTTTTACATTGACCACATAAACTCTTGGGATAAAAAAACAATATGGTCAGGTCAAAAAACTTCCAATGTTTTTTTTTAAAAATGTTTTCACCAATCACCTAAATATAAGCTTTTCTTCATTTTTCTTGCTACTTATTTCTATTTATAGCTTTGGATAAAAATATTTTAAAATTATATTTTAAGAATTGAATTTAAATATATTTCAGTTTCGGCTCTTGAGGGCTGACTTAATTATTCCACTTCGTGAAAACATTAACAAATATCTGGCCGATGCTGATAAACATGAAAATATTGGTATCAATGTTTATTCTCAGGTAGGTCTAGATAATGATAATGTAAATAAACTATTTTTTCTGTATCACTGTTTATTCTCAGGTAGGTCTAGATAATGATAATGTAAATAAATATTTTTTTCTGCACTTAAGACTTTTATATTTATAAGAATGGAAAATGGCAATGCATTTGAAGCTACTTATATTATGTAGATTATTTCTTTGCATGTTGACCTTCCTTTAAACTACACTTTTCAGGTAAGAATAGTTCGACCTATCTGCCATGACAAAGGACTCTGCTTTCGTTTATCATTTGATATTTCTAGACTGAGAAAAATAAACTGGAATGTCTCTCAGAAACTCAAGTATGGCTCTCTGCTGTGTTTGTCTTTAGACAACTTTAATACGTATCTCTGTGCTGTGGTTGAACATCGCGAAGTCAAAGACCTTGAGAGAGGGCTAATAGATGTCCAGTTTATAATGCATGACAATAGACCTGAGAACCACATTGAGGAATTCATGAAGTTGCTACAAGAATCTCGAGATCAAAGGTACACTATGGTCGAGTCACCCACCTACTTTGAGGCCTATAAATATGTTCTTGAGGGTCTCAAGGCCTTCACAGAGAACAATTTTCCTTTTTGGAAATATATAGGAGAGTGCAACCCAAATGTTGGCCCTCCACAATATCTTGTGGCTCAACAGCCAATTAGCTATGACCTAAGACCTCTTGTAGATAAGAAATACATCATCACTGATGATGGCAGCACACAACGTTTCAGCGAGGAAGCTGAAATAGCCTCAAATGTAAAGGTTTTAGAGCCAAATTCGTGGCCAAACGCAAACACGTTTGGCCTGGATAACTCCCAGTTTGTTTCCCTCCAATCAGCTTTGACTAAAGAGTTCTCCATCATACAAGGGCCACCTGGGACTGGGAAAACTTTTATTGGGCTTCTCATAATGAAGGCCCTCTTGCACAACAAACAATTTTGGCTGGGAGACGTTGAACACAAGCCTATTCTGTTAGTGTGTTACACAAACCATGCCTTAGACCAGTTTCTGGAGGGGATCCTGGACTTCTTCCAAGGCAAAATGGTGCGTGTGGGCTCTCGCAGTAAGAGCGAGAGACTGGAGGACTACAATCTCAGAGGGCTGAGACACAGGGCCAGGGAGAACAGGTCTATACCTACAGAAGTTCACCTGGCCAAACAGCAGGTCAGGCTTGAACTCAAAGAGTTTAAGGTGGACATTCACAGGGAAGCTGCTAAGCTTGAAATCCTTGAAACAGAAATTGTCAAAGAAACGTTTCTGAAAGATTTCATCCACCCCGACCATTACAAATCTCTCACTCAAAGAGCAGGTCGCAATGAAAGCGTCATTGTCCAGTGGTTGGGAATAAAAGATGAGATTCAAAAATTTTTGAAACCAAAACCAAAATCAAAACCCAATCCAGCTGCAACAAATGTCGCCATGGCAACCGCTGACACAGGGGGAGCTGTAGGTGACAACAATGCACAGGAAGAAGAAAATGAAGATGAAGAGGATGCTGAACTAGATGAGATCATTGATGCAATGACAGCCACAACTCGTTATTTAGATATCGATGAGGATGATGATGATGATTTTGATACTAATGATGATGACTTATTTGCTGAGCTGCTTGAAAGTTTTGGCGGTGATTTCATGGAAAACGTGAGGTCTGTGAACAAGAAACTGGATGATGTGGATCAGGAAGCGATCGTTATAAAAAGAGAAAACGTTGCCTTTAATATCAGTGAGTACGGAGAAGAAAAAATGCCGTACAATTTGAGTAAAGAAGAAAAGGAGGATTGGAAAAGCCAGAAGCCCAAGAAAAAGTTTTACAGAGGTTATCTTTTGAAACATCTGCAGACAACAGAACGCATGAGTGAAGACGAGGCTGGACACGTTTTCAATGTCTGGAGAATTTCAAAAGCAGAGAGATGGAGACTGTATCGCTACTGGGTAGATTTGTACTGTAGGCAAATACGTGGCTCAATTAGAGACACTTCGCAGAGGTACGAAGAGAAAGCCAAGAGATATCAAGAAATATTACATCAGGAAGACAAAGTCATATTGCAGAAAGCAACAATTATAGGGATGACCACGACAGGCGCAGCTCGTTACCAGGGGATCTTGCGTGAGATCGGGCCAAAAATCGTCCTGGTTGAGGAGGCAGCAGAAGTGTTGGAAGGTCATGTGCTGACCTCACTGAGTGAAGAGTGCCAACATGTTGTGCTGATTGGAGACCACAAACAGCTGCGCCCTAACCCTTCCGTCTTCAAGCTAAAGAAAGATTACAATATAGATATATCGCTGTTTGAAAGACTCATACTGAATCATTTTGAGTTGAAATGTTTGAAGTACCAGCATCGAATGAGGCCAGAGATTTCCAAGCTGCTGCGAATTGAGGATCTTTATCCAGATCTTGAGGACCACGATGTTGTAAAAAATTATCCACATGTCACCAGAGTTAAAGGGGATGTTTGCTTTATCCAGCATTCCGAGGTGGATGAACGCGAGGGTGACACAAAAACATTTAAAAACTCACACGAAGCTGAATTTCTCATTGGTTTATGTGAGTATCTGATACATCAGGGGTACTCATCTAAACAGATCACAATTCTGTCACCTTATGCTGGGCAAATTCACCTGATCAAAACACTGATTGAGACAAAACAGAGGGGACATGGGAAGATCATGAAGGGTTTAAAGATCTCTTCTGTGGACAACTACCAAGGAGAAGAAAATGATATTATTTTATTGTCACTCGTTAGAAGTAATGAATCGAATGAGATTGGGTTTCTGAAAGCTAACAACAGAATTTGTGTCGCATTGTCTAGAGCCAAAATTGGCTTGTATGTCATTGGCAACTTCTTGGGTTTATCAAAGAGCAGTCCGTTGATTGAGGAAATTATTGTCAAAGCTAAAGAGTTGAAGTATCTAAAGGACCACTTGGTTCTCACCTGTATTCGCCACAAAGGGGGTGAAACTTTGATAAGGAGCCCAAGGGATTTCAAACATGTGCCAGAGGGTGGGTGCTCAAAGCCGTGTGCTGTTCGCCTTGAATGCGGGCACAGCTGCAAGAGAATTTGTCACTCTGACGACGCTCAGCACGAGAACTACCAGTGCTCAGAGAAGTGCCAGTACAGGTGTGAGAAATGTGACCAAAACTGTACAGGTGAGCACAGGTGTGGCCAGCACGACAGGTGCAGAAATCTGGTGAAGAAGATTATCCCCATCTGCGGCCACACCCAGGATGTGCCCTGCCACGAGCAGCCGAACCTGTTTGAGTGTCGGGAGAGATGCCGAGAAAAGCTTCAATGTGGCCACCCCTGTCCTGGCCAGTGTGGGAAGAGACACAGCCACACAGAGATCAAGTGTACGGAGATTATTGAGGTAAAACATGCACCTCATTATCATGTTTGTTTTCAAAGATCATAGAGCAGTTTTTGTGTCTGTGAAATAACTTCCTTTTTTTTAAAATATAAAAATGCATCTAACTAGTTAATTGTCATTTAAGTGGGTTTATTCTATGTAACTGTTTAGACTGTATAAAAATATATTCTAAAATTTAATATAGCTTTTAATATGGTATCTTTTTTTGTAATCTATTTAATGGATTGTATGGCTGGTTAGTATACAATCAGTTGTAGGACTAGAAAATGAACATTGTGGCTGTCATCTAGTAGGTTTTGTGATGGGCATGTAGAAGTTTGATGGACTGGTTTAAAAAAGTCAACAAGTAGATGACTGAGTAAAATTTTACTATTTAGGTCACCCCAACCTACTGTGGACACAACAAGTTTCAAACAGAGTGCTGGAAAGCCAAAGAGGGCAGAAATTTCAACTGTACCGAGCCTTGTAAAGCTGTACTGGAATGTGAACATGTCTGCAGTGGTACTTGTGGCAGCTGTCAGAATGGACGTCTTCATGTCAACTGTACAAACAAATGCTCAAAGATCTTAATCTGTGGCCATCAGTGTAGAGACACTTGCAATAGTTGTCCCCCTTGCACGTAAGTAACAAAATGGAAGGAAAAATTCTTTTTAAAAATATGATTAGCTAACAAAGTACAAGGAAATTTTTTTCCCCATAAATTAGTTGTGATAAAATATCTAAAGTCTAGCATCATGTCCCAATACTGTATTCAGACATCTGTGTGAAAATGTGATAAAATATCTAAGTCTAGCATCATGTACCAATAGTGTATTCAGACATACATGTGAAAATGTGATAAAATATCTAAAGTCTAGCATCATATCCCAATAGTGTATTCAGACATACATGTGAAAATGTGATAAAATATCTAAAGTCTAGCATTATATCCCAATACTGTATTCAGACATACATGTGAAAATGTGATAAAATATCTAAAGTCTAGCATCATATCCCAATACTGTATTCAGACATCCCATTATATCCCAATTCAGACATCCGTGTGAAAAAGTGATAAAATATCTAAAGTCTAGCATTATATCCCAATTCAGACATCCGTGTGAAAATGCGTGTCAACATTCAAGCTGCCCAAAGAAATGTGGAGATCTGTGCTCCTCCTGTGTGGAGGAATGCTCCTGGCAATGTAAACATGAGCAGTGTAAGGAGCGCTGTTGCCAGCCCTGCTCACGTCCAGCTTGTGATAACCCCTGCCCTCTACGGCTCAAGTGTGGCCATAACTGTTCAGGTTTGTGTGGGGAGACCTGCCCACACCTGTGTGTCATTTGCAATAAAGAGGTAAAAAACTGATAGGACAATTGTTTACTCGTAAATTACTGCTTGTACTCATTCAATGACTAACCATATTAGGAATTATTCACTTCTTTAATGAACTAATTATAGGAGTTTTTTTTCAAAAGAGATCAAATAATTGTATCTACTGTAGCTCCAGTTAATTTGGGTTAGACTGTAAACTGATATTTGTGGAGTGAGTGCTAGTCAGAACAGTCAGCTTATGAGTTAAAAAAGGGGGTGGGGGAAGGGGAGAAGCAATCAAGCCTATAAACAAACTAACTAAAGAAATAGTAGGCTCTATACTATGAATGTTACTGTTTTATCAAAAAAATAATAATGGATAGAATGATTAGAATTTAATCCTAACATTTTTTTTGACAACTGCAACCATTTTTCAGGAGCTGATGAGCTCCAGTTTGTACGGCTATGATGGGGATCCAACTACACTGTTCATTGAGCTGGACTGTGGCCACGTATTGGAGGTGGAGTTTGTGGATCACTGGATGTCCACTTCAACTGCAACCCCTGAAGGATCAGACCAAGAGGCTATTGGTCTAAAAACATGTCCTCTTTGCAAGACACCCATTCGCAAGTGTGAGCGATATAATAAACAAATCAAGGTATGTGTGATGAGTAGTTTAAAAACTGAATAACTATTTTTAAAAATACATATTTTATCAATTATAACAGACCAAATAAGTACCTTAAGTTGTAAAATATGGTATTGCTTGAATAAACTATTAAAAAACAATTATCATCTGTTATGAATTTTAGGAAATGCTGTGTTTAATAGAGAGTGTAAAGAGAAAATATATCGGTGAGAAAAAGAAAGATATGAAAGCACTTTTAGACCAGATCACCGCAGAGCTGACTGGTCAAGAGAAAACAATTATTGATGCTTTTCTTCTGCAAGGTATTTTAAAAAGTTTTTAGACTGGTCATTTTAGAGTTGAATTATTTCAGTGCTATTGTGTTACAACTTTTTGTATTTCTTATCAAAGGTAATACAGTTCTGTCAGAGACAATCCTAGAAGCTCAGATAAATCAGGTGAACCTGTGCAGGAGGATCTTTGCCCTACGGCGAGTGGTGGAGGAGTGTAAGAGCAGATGGGAACAAAGGGCGCAGACGTTTGATGACATCCTGTTCCAGCTGGGTCTCTTTGCCAACTGGACGCTGCTGAGGCGGGCCATATTTTCTCAGCAGAACAGACAAGACGCTGAAGAGGAAATTAACCGGCTGAGTGTTCTCATAGATCTCCTGAAGATAGAGTTAAATATTAGCACGCGTGGTCTCAGAAATAACCTTCCTCCCAGATGTGTTTTTAATCTGGGACAGAATATAGCGTAAGACATCTATTTTTTAACAAGATTGTTTAATGCTTGTAACCTTGTACAAACTTTAGTGTAAGACAAGTTTTTTATAGCATTTCACATAGGACCTACAATTTCTCTTATGAGACATTAAATTAATGTATCATGTCTTAAATGAATTTAGAGAATTAGCAGCAATTTTTAAAAAGGCATATAAAAATATGCATTTGCTATTTAACCTGTATTATTTGGAAATATTTTTTGCTGATGTTTTAGAAGTAATAACATTTAGATTTCCAACCAAAAAAAATCTAAATAATAAGCATTGTTCAAATCTTTGCTGTTGTTATATAGAGCCCTGTCTGTCTCTGGGAAAATCAACAAGAAAGTCATTGAAGAAAGTAAAACCTTATGTGAGGAGCTGCTCAAGCTGGTTCCTGAGTCTCACATAGCTCTCACCAACAAAGAAAAGATGGAAATTGTCAAAGCTGTTAATGTCAGCAAAGGGGCTTGGTACAAGTGTCCAAATGGTAAATTTTGACAATTTCCTTTCACATTAAGACTGTTTACTATAGGTAAAAAAAAATGGAAAGTATGTTGATAGCTAGCCTCTCACTAGTAGACTTTAAGTCAGTGCTTACAGTGACTTGTATACATATAATTTTAGAGTGGTATGTCAGCAGCCTGAATGTACAGTTCAAACAAAATGTATCAAATTATATTCTTTAAAAATTGGTAAAGGATATCACACTTACGTTATATTCTAATTTATGTTTTAAATTATTTAATATTTTGAAATAAAATGAATAAAAAACAACACATTTTTGTTCTAAATCTGATAAACAAATTAATTCTAACAAAAAAAAAGTATATATATATATATATATATATATTTATATATATATATATATATATATATATATATATATATATATATATATATATATATATATATAAAAATAAATATATATATATATATATATATATATATATATATATATATATAAATAAATAAATATATATATATATATATATATATATAAATAAATAAATATATATATATATATATATATATATATATATATATATATATATATTATTTTGTCAGGCCATATTTATGCCATCGGTGATTGTGGAAGAGCAATGGAAGAAGCCAAATGTCCTGAATGCAAGCAAAAAATTGGTGGGACCAACCATGAACTTGTTGCTACAAATGCAATGGCGCCAGAAATGGATGGGGCAGAGGCTCCAATATGGGACAATTTAGATGCAGATAGAGCTTTGGCAGAGAGACTTCAACAACAATTTAATGACAGGGTATAAATATTTTTAGCACTATGTGAATTATTATTTATTTTTTTAAACAAAATGTTTGCATATTAGTAAAATATTTTTTTTTTTTTAAATATGTTTAGCTCCAAGACTTCTTTTTCTGAAGTGCACTACACAAAGCATGCGATTACAGAGAGATTAGTGAAAGTGTTGGAGAAATAAGACACTTGCATTGAGACAGAAATAGCCATTTGCTATAGACTTGTTTCTACTAGGTTTTTTTTTAGCTATTGATTGATGTTTTTACTTTGTAGTTTTCATTTTTTTATGTATTAAACATAGCTTAATACTTAATTAAGTAGTTTTTTAAAATTTAAAATTAAATGTGTATTTATAGATGTAAAATGGTATAAAATTCTTCCACTGTCCTCTTGGTATGTTGGCTTGTTTATTATAAATGAGAGAAGATTTAAAGTTTTTTTTCTTTAAAAAATTTAAGCTATGTAGTTACATATTAAATTAAACTAGTTTCGAAGATTTTATCATTTAACTTAAGCACACTAAATATTCTACTATCATAATAAATGTATTCAAAATAGTTCTAAAGGTAATTTTTTTAATAGTAGGAATAAAAAAGACAAAAATCAATATATTGATGTCCATGCACCTATTTAATGAATTTTTTAAAACTCCACTGAAATGATGCATCTTGTTAATGAATATAGAAGGAAACTGAGATTGGTGTGTTTATTGGAAACTGAAATTGGTGTGTTTATGTATTGGAAACTGATATTGATGTGTTTATGTTTTTTGAAATTGAAGTGTTTATGTATTGGGAACTGAGATTTCTGTGTCTATGTATTGGAAACTGAAATTGATGTGTTTATGTATTGGAAACTCAAATTGATGTGTTTATGTATTGGAAACTGAGATATATGTGTCTATGTATTGGAAACTGAAATTGATGTGTCTATGTATTGGAAACTAAGATTTATGTGTCTATGTATTGGAAACTGAGATTTATGTGTCTATGTATTGGAAACTGAAATTGATGTGTTTATGTATTGGAAACTGAAATTGATGTGTCTATGTATTGGAAACTGAGATTTATGTGTCTATGTATTGGAAACTGAAATTGATGTGTCTATGTATTGGAAACTGAGATTTATGTGTCTATGTATTGGAAACTGAAATTGATGTGTCTATGTATTGGAAACTGAGATTTATGTGTCTATGTATTGGAAACTGAAATTGATGTATCTATGTATTGGAAACTGAGATTTATGTGTCTATGTATTGGAAACTGAGATTTATGTGTCTATGTATTGGAAACTGAAATTGATGTCTCCATGTATAAAATACATTTTTTAAAAATTATATGATTTATTGAATATTGAATATTTTTTATAACATTTACATTTTTTTTTAAACTTCAAATAAAAATGACGGCAGTATTATATATTTTGTGTTATGCGTTTTTAATTTATGACATATATCCAGTTTTTCTAATAATCCACCTGAGTAATTTTGTTGAATTGGCACCTATCAATATTCAACGTGTCCTCCACACACTTTTGTAAGTAGTTGGTGCCACGATCTATTGTTTAAGTGTGTGATTAGGACAGTTTATTACAGCAGTCTGCTCTACTAAAAAAGTTGGATCTAATTAACCATTTACGGTGTTACCAAGCAGTCACCATCCTAACAACTGTCTATCATTATACTCAGTCCTCCCCCCATTACAACAGTAGATCACCATCCTCAGCCCTTCACCCCCCCCCATTATAACTAGATCATTATCCTCATTCCTTACCCCCCCCCCCCCCCCTCTCAATTACAACTGTAGATCATTATCCCATCCTCACTTCCCCTACCCCTCTATACAACTGTAGAGAAATAAAAGATTTAAAAAAAATACATTTTTAAAAGGTGCTGTTGCGTGAGATGAGACGTCATCTTAGTGCGTCTGGCTTTTTGTGACGATATGCGACTGTGGGGAGGAAGTGGAAAGGAGGAGGTACAAAAAGTGATGTTTATAGATGAACTTCGAATATTAAATAAATATCAATATTTTAATAAAATAGTACGGCGTTTAGTATAAGCATGGAGCATAGTAATGTAATGTACATTAGATTCTATTTCTATAGTCTCTATCTCTCTTAGTTCAGTAGCGTAGCGAGGGGGTGCGGGGGGGGGGGGGGACATATGTCCCCGGGCGCCGACCTTAGGGGGTGCCAAAATGGGTTGGAAAAATAAATGGAAAGGTTGAGGGGGGTGCAAATCGAAATCTTGAGGGGGGTGGGGGTGCAAATCGAAAAGTTTGTCCCCGGGCGCCGGGAAGGGTCGCTACGCCTCTGTCTTAGTTTACTCTATACTAGTCTATACTCTATTCTATACTAAACTATACTATTAATATTATCTATACTATACACCTATAAACTATATATATTATATGTATGGATGGTATTCTAATATTCTTAAAAAAATGTTTTCCCCCTTAGATCTACATAGTTCTGTTCAAATTTAACTCTGAATGAAAATATTGTTCATTAGCAACTGTAGTCATGATCACTTTAAAAAACAATTTAAAATATGACATGGTTTCTAAATAAAAACATACTGGGAGTTTATGCCTAGAACTGTACTTCCAAGAATCGTACTGAAATAATATCGGGAATTCCCACTAAAAATTTCCAATTCGAAAAACAAGCAGATCAACCGAAAGCAGAGTCAAGATCAAGAAGTGAACCTGTACATTTTTTAATACAACGTTATTTCGCAGTATAGACAGACTAGTCTTTGTTGTACTGAGAACAATCAGAATATGCAGCGTAAGTAACTAAGTAGGAAAAGCTAATTATAATTTTTAAATTAAGTTAATCAGTATTTTTTCACTTAGTTAGTACTTTTAAATTTTAAACCAACTCAAAATTTACAATTTAATCTCATTCTAGTGCCACCTACATCTTTAATCTTTACACATTACACTTGCTTGACTATACTATAGCAGCTAAATATTGTATCACTTCCCCAACTACTTCCCTACTTCCCCAAAACCAGTTGGGTAAAAAAACATTTTATTTTATTTTGAAAAACAATTGTGGAAATCACAACTAAGGCAACACAAATCACATAAATCATAGATCTACATGTTCATTTAAAATTATTGAAATTAAAAATAAACCTGTGTTTTAAACATGTGTACACTGGTAATGTCAACATATTCATCCAACCTAAAGGACTAAACAAATAAAATCAGTTGGCTATTATATAAATTTGCTATATACTCTACCCAAAATAATATAATGTAACAAATAACATATGTCATTTAATATTTGCATGATATCTTAATACGACCATATCCAGAGTGTGATGTTGAACAATGCAGCTTCAGTGGATACCAAACCTTACAATAGGATACAAAAGGACATTTAGACATGGTGCTGGTCATTCTGAGTTCTAGTTTTGAGCTGGAATCAATTTGAGTGGGTAGACATTAGTGATATAGCTTGTAGTTAATTTTTTAATTAATGAAAATTGTAAATTGTATTTTTCAGAGTATCATAGCTAAACAGCGGTAAAAATTTGACTGAACAGTTTTACTGTAAACCACAGAAATGGCATCAAGGTGGGTACAATTGTTACAATGTGTTTAATTATTACTTACTGAACATGTTGGGTTAATTACAAATGTCATGAAAAAGATAAAACATTTTTTTTTATCTGCAAACAATATTGAAACAGTGCTATTAAACCATTCATTGTAACTGGTCTTATTAAAAAAAAACAAGACAATTTTAAGACTGGAATGAGTCAAAAATTATGTTCAAATCATTAAGAAACTTTTGTATGTAAAAACTTGTCTATAAATTTTAGGGACAAGGCAGAAAGACCTCTCTCTGTTCAAGAGCTGGACGACATGCTGAAAAACCAAAGACCCTCTGATATTCTGCTCCGCATTTCTCGACCTAATGGTGGATTTGGCCTGCTGTTAGAGTCAGCCACCAAACAGCGTGAGATTGACTTGATAGTGAAGGTGCTGGGGACAGTGCTGGGCAGTAAACAACGAGCACAAAGACAAGCAATCAATGATGTTGTTGACATGTTTATTAATGCAAACAATTTTCAAGACAGCATGTCCAATTTTCTCCAAGGCAAGCTTGGACAGGATCAAGTTTTTGTTAAGGCAGTGCTAGCGATTCTAAAAGAATCTTTAGAAGCATTACCCAATATAGCTGCTAAAAAATGCCTCTATCTGTTCACAACACTTGAACAAGTTATAGACAAGAGATTCAAAGATATGCTTCAAGAAAAGGAAACTGTCAAGGAAATGATACATCGTCCTTTTAAGCTGGCGCTGGAGGAAAATGAGGAAGAAATGGATACAGAATCAGCTATTCCAGACGAGGAGGTCGATCCAAACTTGTTCCGTGGTCTCAGCATAGTCCCAACAGCTGCTGATTTTGATCCCACGCAAGATATTATCATCAGGGCCAACAAAATTAAAGGACATTACCAAAATGTTAATGACTACCTGGACATACAGGTAACTGGTTACATTCTTAATTGAACAAAAAAATCTTTAAAAATTATTTTTTCTGAAAACTTAAAAAAAATATAGATTCTCTAAATATTTAAACATTGGTAATAAAATTTATTTCTGCTAGATAATAAATGCATTCTACATACAACATACTGTCATGCAATGCTCTTACTTTAGTATATAACAAAATAAAATTTAGCTTTTTTTGGGAATGGATGGAGAGTATTGAAGATTAAATGTTACAAAGATTAGTGGACTACAAACATTATTTATTTACTTCTTCATTGAAAAGGCAACAAAATCCAAAATCTATAAACAAAAAACATTAAAGCTATCAGAAGCTAAACAAAGAAAAAATCTACAAACATAAAATGTATGTTAATTGACACTGAAAATAACTAACATAACTGTTTAAAATCAAATCATGTTACATGCTTGTAAATGCATGAAGATTTATTTAAATTATTTTAAACATGTTTAGATTTAAACTACTTAAGGTTTAAAAATTATTTATTTCAGTTCCGTCTTTTGCGAGCTGATTTAGTTATTCCACTTAGAGAAAATATTCACAAATTTCTGGATCAAGAAGATAAACGTATCAGAGCATATTCTCAGGTAGGCTGTATGTTGTATGAAGTAGATTTTGTCACATATGTATCATAATAACTTTTGAGTAGTTTACATGTAATAAGGAAAAAATATAAATAATACATATTTAACCCCAACAACTGAGGTCATTCACCTGTATGTTGATACTGACAGTGCTTCATACTTTTTAAAATTTTTATTTACCCTCTTTCAATGTGCCTTATTCACTAAAATGAGAGGATATCAAGTGGGTTTGGATTTTACATTAAACTAAACTCTCTAGCCCCTAGCATCTTTATAATTAAATCTTTATCATTTCACTTTCACTGATTACCACAAACTATAAGTCTCATTTACTGTAAAGTCCCTAATTGGCGAATATTAATAGTAATTTAGTAAATTAATTTATAACATTTTTCATACTGTGATAACAATAAAAAGGATGCATTAGGATGAAGATGTATTTTTATCTTCAAATAGGTAAGAATTGTGAGACCAGTTTGTCATGATAAAGGACTGTGCTTCAAGTTGTCATTTGATGTCTCAAAACACAGAAGAGTGAATTGGGCAGTTTCCCAGAGGCTGAAGTATGGCTCGCTGCTGTGTTTGTCATCAGACAACTTTAACACTTACAGATGCGCTGTCGTGGAAAATCGTGAACCAAAAGAACTGGCGAAAGGCTTAGTAGATGTGCAGTTTGTCCTTCACGAGCATGAGCAGGGTGATGAAGGTCAAGGAGATTTCACAAGGTTTCTCAGTGAAGCCAGAGACCAAAGATTTGTGATGGTAGAATCTCCAACATATTTTGAGGCTTACAAATATGTTCTCCAAAGTCTTCAAAACATCACAGAGAATAATTTTCCTTTCTGGGAGTACATTGGAGAATGTAGCACTGCCCTCGAGCCACCAGCATATCTCCAGAACAATGACCATCCTACATATGACCTCAGACCTCTTGTTGATGCAAAATTTGTTATTAAAGAAGATCAAACTGAAACAGCAACATTTAGCAGAGAAGCTGAGCCTGCAAAAGAAGTTAATATCTTGGATCCAGAAAGTTGGCCAAAGGCTAACACATTTCAGCTTGACCACTCGCAGTTTGTGGCCTTGCAGGCAGCACTGAAGCACAAGTTCTCCATTATACAGGGCCCACCTGGCACTGGGAAGACATTCATTGGGCTCATGGTGATGAAAGCTCTCTTGTGGAATAAACAGATATGGACAGGGGACGAAGAGCAAAAGCCAATTTTGTTAGTCTGCTACACAAACCATGCACTGGACCAGTTTTTAGAAGGGATTCTCAATTTTTTCCAAGGTAAAATGGTGCGTGTTGGCTCCCGAAGTAAAAGTGAGAGACTGGAGGAATATAATTTGAGAGGGATGAGGCATAGAGCAAGAGAAAATCGTGCTGTGCCCCTAGAAGTTCATCTAGCTAAGCAACAGACAAGAAATAAGATGAATGATATGAAAGCAGACATCCATAAAGAAGCTGCTAAGCTAGAAATCCTGGAGAGAGAAATTGTGAAAGAAACATTCTTAAAACCTTTCATTGATCCTGAACAATATAACTCTCTTACTGCAAATTCAAGGGCAGGCACTGCCATTATACCAGAATGGCTAGGGATTACAATTAATATAAAAAATATGGAAGATAAAATAAAAAGAAAGAGGAATCATAGGCCACAAAATCAAGGGGCTCAATATCTTAGACACCATCAGGATGAACTTGGCATGGAAGAAAATGATGACTTGGAGATTGATGCTGATCTTGTTGAAGTGGTCGCTGGTCAAGATGATGCAGAACAATTGGATGTTGATGAGGATGAAAGTGATGATGATGGAGATCCATTTGACAATTTGTTAGATAACATAGAAGAGGATTTTTTTGAAAAAACCAAGTTCATCAACAAAAAGTTAGATGAAGCTGACAAAGAAGCTACCAGAATCAAGTGTGAGAATATAGCCTTTAATATCAGTTGCTATGGAGAGGAACAAATGTCACATAGACTTTCAGCACAAGAAAAGGAACACTGGAGGAACATGATACCATTAAAGAGGCGTTACAGAACAATTCTGCTGAAGAACCTTCAAAATCCAGAGAAAATGGATGAAGCACAAGTGAGGCGAATTAAAAATGTCTGGAGAATCCCACCGCATGATAGATGGAGGCTTTACAGGTACTGGGTCAGTTTGTACTCAGGACAAATTCAAGAGGCAATCAAAGATGTAACTCTTAAATACGAGCAGTGCGCTAGGAGGTATCAGGAGATCTTGCATCAAGAAGACAAAGCAATTCTTGAGAAGGCCACAATCATTGGGATGACAACCACTGGTGCTGCTAGGTACCAAGGTGTCTTGCGTGAAATTGGGCCAAAGATTGTTTTAGTTGAGGAAGCGGCCGAGGTATTTGAGGGCCATGTTCTGACCTCCCTCAGTGACCAGTGCCAGCATGTTATCCTTATTGGTGACCACAAGCAGCTGCGGCCCAGCCCCTCTGTCTACAAACTTAAAGAGAAATATAAGTTTGATATTTCTTTGTTTGAGAGGCTCATAATGAATAATTTTCCTTATGAATGTCTCCAGTATCAACACCGCATGCGACCAGAAATTTCAAAATTATTGCGCATACCAGATTTATACCCTGAACTAAAAGATCATGATCTTGTCATGAGATATCCAAATATCATCAAAGTAAAAGGAGACATTTGCTTTATTCAACATTCAGTAAGTGATGAGCAAGAAAATGACACCAAAACATTCAGTAATGTTTTTGAAGCTGAGTTCCTCATTGGCCTCTGTGAGTACCTCCTGCAGCAAGGATATACTTCCAGCCAGATCACAATCCTTTCTCCTTACTCCGGACAAATCCACAAGATCAAATCTCTAATTGAAACCAAGCCCAAGTCACAGATCACTGCGAGCAAGATCAAAGGGCTGAAGGTCTCATCAGTGGACAACTACCAAGGGGAGGAAAATGATATCATTCTACTCTCCCTTGTCCGAAGTAACCCAGCTAATGACATTGGATTTCTGAAAGCTAATAATAGAATCTGTGTTGCTTTATCTCGTGCAAAGATGGGGCTGTATGTCATCGGAAATTTTGAAGGGTTGAGTAAGAAGAGCTCTCTAATACAAGAGATCACAGAACTTTCAAAACGTCTTGGATATTTCAATGACCATCTGATTCTGACCTGCACCCAGCACAAAGGAACAACAACGCGGATAGAAAAACCTGAGGATTTTAAAAATGTGCCTGAGGGTGGCTGCAAGCAGCACTGTGCCACACGCCTGGACTGTGGACACAGCTGCAAGAGGACGTGCCATGCTGATGACATGGAGCACAGGAAGTTGAAGTGCTCGGAAAGATGTCGTCGTCAGTGTGCCAAGTGTCAGAAAAATTGCAGAGGTGATCATAGATGTGGGGAGCATAAACACTGCACTTTACTAGTGCAGAAACGCATCCCCATATGTGGCCATATTCAGAATGTGCCGTGCTATATGGAGCCCCATGAGTTTGAGTGCCAGAATGAGTGTATGGAGATACTTCCATGTGAACATACATGTACTGATGTATGTGGTAGACTGCACACTCACACAGCGGACACATGCAAGTTTAGAACTGAGGTACGTGTTGCTCTCATTGTTTTTTCATAGCACATGTTAGTATGATGTTAGCATGCTCAGCAAGATGTTTTGCTGCCACTACAGAAGGTTATCTGTATCAGGGGAACTAACTCTGGAACAAAGTTCACTGCAGCCATATTTAGTTGAAAACCAGGATCCTCGTTGAAATCATACATGCAAGCTTGACCTCAGTGGTGTCAGTTGGTGGGGTGGCACCCAGTGGGGTAACCCCCTCCGCCACCATCTATGTGAAATATACAAAGACTATAGACAATTTAGCGTCACCCTCCCTCCCCCCATCCCAGGTGGTGTCATTCTATGTCTAGTGATGTAAGTGATGTATATAACTGGAGCAACCAATTAGACTAGCTGTAAAAAATACTTTCATATTAAAATTGTCTATATTATATTTTGGTGTCACCCCTTTTGATGGTGTCACCTAGTACAACCCCCATCCCTGCCCCCACCTTGTGACTGTACTGCTTGACCCCTCTGTCAGCCAGAATAATATCTGATATTTGAAACAAAAATTCTAGATGTTGAGATAGATATTTTTAAAAATAGGAATAACAGTCAGTGTAGTAGGATAAACCTGAGAATAGGCAAAAATCTGACTAACAACCTTTTTTTTTAAGGTGACACCTAAGTATTGTGGACATGGTAAGTTCCGAATTGAATGCTGGAAGACAACAGAAGCCGAACATTTTCTGTGTCCCAAGCCATGTGGTGTTGAACTTGAGTGTGGGCATCTGTGTAGTGGAACATGTGGCAAGTGTCAAAATGGGAGGCTACACATCAACTGTCAACAGAAGTGTCAGAAGATTTTAATTTGTGGCCATTATTGTAGAGACACATGTAGCAGTTGTCCTCCCTGCCTGTAAGTATCCTACCTTTGGGATGGATTTTATATAGTAAACATACACTTTTACTAGTGTCCGCCCCCCCCCCCCCCCCTCAAAAAATGTAGACCACCCCACCAAAAATTTCAAAAGCTCCCCCCCCCCCCCGGAGAAAAAAGTCTGGAAGAAACACTGCAACTTATCTTTATGTTTCCTACCTATGGGGACTACTTATTCAAACGTTAATTTTTAGCTTATAGTTTTTGTAAACTTACTCTTCCCCAACATAAGTCAGGTAGCCATCAGAGTTGGGTGGACTCCGGATGTCCTACAGTCACAAGTCCAAACCAAGATCCAAATTAGTAGCCAAACACTTTACCATGCTACCCCATAATGTATTGAAAACTTACAAAATCTGTCAGTATGTTACAAACACTAGAAATATGTAATTATGTATCCTATAAACTTACTTATATTTCACCTCTAGTCAGCTTACCAATATAGTAGATGTTTTTAAACGTTGTACCTTAAATAACTTTGAAAATATTAACTTCCTGTAACAAGTGATTCCCACTTTCAGCCTACCCTGTGAGGTAGAATGTCGTCACTCTAAGTGCCGCAGGAAGTGTGGGGAACTGTGCACCCCCTGCATGGAGCAGTGTGACTCAGGATGTGACCACGTTTACTGTGATGACCTGTGCTGGGAGCCTTGTAAAACCACCCCATGTGACCTCCCATGTCGCCAGAGACTCCCATGTGGTCACAACTGTTGTGGTTTGTGTGGAGAAAAGTGCCCTCATCTTTGTGTTATATGTGATAAAGAGGTAGATCTACATACATTTGAAAAGTTTTTCCCACTAAACTTTGTCATTGAGGGTTAACCCTTTAAAACCAAAATGACAAAAAATGTAAATCATAGAGCATTTATGTAACATTCATTTATTTTCCTTTTTCATTTTGTTAGGCTAACTCTTTTAAGTAAAGCATGAATAAATAATTTGTTGACAAAATTCTCTAACATTACTAAGCTTTACATAATCAGAATGACAATGATATAAGATACTTAACATTTTGTTTTAAACATATACTAAGCCTAAGGTCTTCATTAGCGTAAGCAAAAAATGAAAAAAAATAAAATAATCTACTCTTCTGTAATCTTTAATATGCAAAAAGTTTTATCTTGTTTTAAAACATAATATTTAGATTTCCAAAAATTTTGTTTGCAAATCATTGTTTTATTTTTTAAAATAGATTTCTGTATAATTATTAAGCTAAAATGTAATTTGTGGTTAAATTATTATTTATCAAAAGAAATTCTGTGTTTTAACTAATTTTAAGAAATTTTTTTGTCAAACTTGTATAGGATTTGATAGCCCAGAGCGCGAGTGAATATGAAGGAGACCCTACAACTCTTTTCATTGAGCTTGACTGCAGACACGTTCAAGAGGTGGAGTTTATGGACAGATGGATGGAAACCTCTACTGCCACTTCAGAGGGTTCAGACCAGCAGGCTATTGGTCTTAAGCTGTGTCCTGTTTGCAATTCCGCCATCCGAAAAGTTGATCGCTACAATAAACATATTAAGGTGGGTATTTTTTTTTAATTTTTGGTTTAGTTTGGTCTATTTCCCTCTCATCTGATGATGATGTAGAGTACAGTATTTTATTTATTTAAAATTCACCTTTTCCTTGAGACTGCTACTTACAATATTTACAATGTTTTAAATACACAACACACTCAGGTAACACTGAAGTGGTTTTGAGAAAAACATTTGTAAAAAAAAATCTCTTTTACTCAAGCACCTGACCTCTAAGACATGTATTTATATCATAGTTATAATTATATCTGATTAGTCTGTCATCCCATTAGGTCAGTCAACTGACAAGATTTCTTTCATACTTTAGCAAGTAATTTTATAAGGCAGTCAACTGACAAGATTTTGTTCATGCTTTAGCAAGTAATTTTGTTAGAAAAAATATTACATTTCCTCTATGAGTAGAAAATGCTGTGCAGTATTGAGAGAGTAAAGAAGAGATGTATAGGTGAGAAGCAAGAAGAGATGAAGCGGCATCTCGACCAGTCCCTCGCCAATGTTAGAGGGGAAGAGAGAGCCATTATCACTGAGTTTCTTGATAAAGGTAATAGTTGAATCAGCTAATTTTCTTTCCACAAAATCATCAGTTTAGAATGAACATATAAGTTAGAAACTTTGGATTCCATAAACCATTATAAAAATTGACATTCTGCAACATCTTAATAAAGGTGAATATTCTCCATGCTCCAAAAGATACTTCTTTGTACGTTGATAATTAACTTAGGACTAGTTTAACCAGCAGGATAAAAATGCTCTTGTTGGACATTTGTATTGTTGGCAAGATACTAATCGATCTTATAGTAAAGCTAGAAATTTCTTGATTTCTAGCATTAAAAAATTGTGACTTACAACTCAAGTAAATTTTTATGTCATCCTCACTAGGTAATCAAGTTTTGTCAGAAACTATTTTGGAAGCTCAGATGAATCAGATCAACCTCTTCCGGCAGGTGTATGCACTCTCTAGAGTTGTGAAAGAATGCCAGGGCAGGCTGGAGAGAAAAGAAAGAGATTTTGACAGAATTTTGGTGGACCTAAAATGTTTTCAGGAATGGATTCTCCAGAAACGTCAACTGTTTTCTGAGCAAAACAAGTTAGATGCTGAAGACGAAAGAGATCGTCTGAGTGTGTTGATTGATCTTCATAAAATTGATCTAAATGTAATGATCCGTGGCACACAAAATAATACTTTGGCACGTTCAATGGATTTGGTGAAAAATTATATTGTGTAAGTACAGTGGCCTAGTTCTGTACTGGCTTAGTGTGATAGAATATGTATTATTTTGTAAATAGTCTCAAAAATGAAAAACAGAGTAATACAAAAAGTTAAGTACCACTCTCTGGCAATAAAGCATGATGTAAATAGCCCCTTCCATTATAGGGTTGACATTTTGGTTTAAATATTTTACTTTAAAATTTTTAAAAAATATTTTTATTTAAAGACAAGAAATATTTTGTTAACACAAGTAAATTTGAACAGTGAACTGTCCAAGTTTGGAAGAGCAAAGAAGCAAGTTCTGGCAGAGAGCAAGGTTCTGTGTGAGGAGCTGATCAAACTTGTACCTGACACTCACCTGGCACTGACCCATGAGCAGAGGATGGAGATCATCCGCGCAGTCAATGTCAGCAGGGGAGCCTGGTATACTTGTCCCAATGGTAAGTTGGTCTTTTACTAGCAGGGGAGCCTGGTATACTTGTCCCAATGGTAAGTTGGTCTTTTACTAGCAGTGGAGCCTGGTATACTTGTCCCAATGGTAAGTTGGTCTTTTACTAGCAGGGGAGAATGGTATACTTGTCCCAATGGTAAGTTGGTCTTTTACTAGCAGGGGAGCCTGGTATACTTGTCCCAATGGTAAGTTGGTCTTTTACTAGCAGGGGAGAATGGTATACTTGTCCCAATGGTAAGTTGGTCTTTTACTAGCAGGGGAAATGGTATACTTGTCCCAATGGTAAGTTGGTCTTTTACTAGCAGGGGAGAATGGTATACTTGTCCCAATGGTAAGTTAGGCTTAATTGTTTACTAGCAGGGGAGAATGGTATACTTGTCCCAATGGTAAGTTGGTCTTTTATTAGCATGGTATACTTGCCCCAATGGTAAGTTAGACTTAATTTTTACTAGCAGGGGAGCATGGTATACTTGTCCCAATGGTAAGTTGGCCTTTTACTAGCAGGGGAGAATGGTAAACTTGTACCAATGGTAAGATGGTCTTTTACTAGCAGGGGAGAATGGTATACTTGTCCCAATGGTAAGTTGGTCCATTACTAGCAGGGGAAATGGTATACTTGTCCCAATGGTAAGTTGGTCTTTTACTAGCAGGGGAGAATGGTATACTTGTCCCAATGGTAAGTTAGGCTTAATTGTTTACTAGCAGGGGAGAATGGTATACTTGTCCCAATGGTAAGTTGGTCTTTTATTAGCATGGTATACTTGCCCCAATGGTAAGTTAGACTTAATTTTTACTAGCAGGGGAGCATGGTATACTTGTCCCAATGGTAAGTTGGCCTTTTACTAGCAGGGGAGAATGGTAAACTTGTACCAATGGTAAGATGGACATAATTTTTATTAGCTAATATTTTAATTAGTGTTGTTTTGGTTAAAATTTGTGGATAGAACACACTTCATTGTGTTTTGGAGCTTTAAATAAAGAAAAATATGGAAATTAGACTATATATAATTAAATAACATATACTGTAAAAAGTTGTTTGTGCTTAAATAGAAATTGATTTCTTTTTTCTCCAACCAGGTCACATCTATGCTATTGGTGAATGTGGTCAAGCCATGGAGGAATCCAAATGTCCAGACTGTAAAGCTGTGATTGGTGGAGCCAACCACAGGCTGCGTCAAGATAATACTTGGACGGGAGAAATGGATGACGCTGAGCAGCCTGTTTGGCAAAATCTAAATGCAGACAGAGAGTTGGCCATGAGGATAGATCAACGACTCAACCAAGTGCGATTTATGTGATTAATTAGATAGAATGATGACAAAATTATTTCAGGCCATTCAAATTTAACTGAACGTCAATTAATATTTTTTTTATTTCTAAAACTGCAGAAATTGATCAATTTCAATGTAATTTTCATCATAAAAGTATAGTTTGGATTGAGTTCTATCCAGCTTGATTTTTAATGCTATTTTCCAATAATTTTTAAACCTTTGATTTCTTTAACTACTATTTATCATTAACAGAAACGTATTTCTTCTAAATGTGGTGTATTATAATAATAAATGAAGGTCCTATTAGAGTAATTACCAAATTCTTAATTGAAACGGGGGTGGCTTGTCTGAATAGGTCGTGAGGGTCAGGCCCCCATTTTCTTTTAAGCTAGTCCAGGCAGGTGTTTGTTGTGTTTTAAAGCACTTTTTATGGCGTTTTCTTTCATTCATTATTATAAAACCTTTCCTCAGTAAGATGAATTCTGAGATGAAACTATTTAATGACTCTATTATATCTAATATCTATTTCGCCGAACTTTGTGTGAATCACATGACCAAATGTCTGTTTACACTGCGTTAACAAAATTTTCAACTATATTTAGTCCTGACTGGTGGGGGCATATTACTCAGGCCTTTAAAAAAAACATTATTTTACACAATTAATATGATTTTCTCAAATGGGTACATTTTATCTATTTAAAATATGTTTTATTTTTCTCAAATTATTATGTTTTAAAAAGATTTATTATTTATGTAAACACTAGCGTGTTCATGGTGCATTAACATAATTAAAAACACTGTGTACTTATCAAATGATTATTTACTTATTAATTACTAATAATTACTTACTAATTTCTCCTACACATATCTTGTGATACAGGCATTACGGGCTCTAGCTTTTGCTCAATAGCCAGACTGAATGGACTCAAACATTTCTCTCACCCATGTTACCATCCTCTATACCCTTTTGCTTCCTCCCCCAGTGCATCCCACTACAAAGTTTGAACATTAGGGGCAGCTTGTAATAGGCTACTGTCTGACTAAATATTATTAAAAATAACAAATGCCGATAATATTCCCATTATCTTTATTTATAAAATAATAAATTTTTTCAAAACTTGAACCTTGGAAAGATTCATACAATTGATTTATTTGACCTAAGTTTAAAAATGTAAGTGTTTAAAATAAGTTTAAAATACATACCAGTGTATTTTGTATTCAACATTTATTTAAGCCACACATGTTTCCGGTGTCATATTAATTTTATTAACTTTATATTCAAAGAGTTCATTGCTTCATATGTGATTTCCATTGGTGTAACTCCAACAAAAGTTATTATTTATATTATCATTAATATTGTTAATAAAGAAAGGATGTTTTATTTCTGGTGTATTTGAAGATTGACATGCCATTTTTTAAAATAAGTAAATTTGCTACTGTTTTATTAAAACTTAATTTTCTATAAACTAAGATAAACACAGATTGTGAATCAACATTCACTTAAGTTTACACATTTATAGTCTATGAAATTTTGAAATCCTTGATTTTATTCTACTTTTAGTTATGTTTTAAAATTAAATTTTAGTATGAACTTTTACAATAAAAATATTCCATTTTTCTATCATTTAAAATATGTTGTGTACAACATATTTTTAAGGACATCAAAGTTTAAAAATATTTTAAACTAGTAAGTGACATGTTAATAACTTGTTAATTTTCACTAGTAGAACATTAAAATATTATAACTTTTAGAATTTCAACAGGTAGGGCCTAAGTTATTGTAGTCGTATAGATCTCTAGCAACACACCACATTTCCAGGTCAACTATTTGTTTATAATTATAAGTGATGTATATTTATTTTCTTTTTATAAATCCACCGTGTCAACTTGTTGTTATCTGAAATACATATCTATTAATTATTTTTACTTCAGTTTAATGCTAATCCCCATCCCAGCTGAGATTTTCTAAAGTGAGCTAAAAAATTGAAAGATTTGAATGTGCCAGCTAGCATTTTGTTTTACATTATTTTACTTAATTAGCCAAAGGACGTTCACAGTGAGAGTTTGGAGAAAAAAGAGAATAGCTTCCCTACTTCAGTTGTTATTTGCCATTACAATAAAACTGTCTACACCCAACATCAGATAATTCAATGTCAGACTATTGGTGATTAATAATGCATTTCTTGCCGTATTTGAGATGTTCCTCCAGTGTCTAAACACACATTTGAATAAATTATGAGATATATAATAAAAAATGAGTTTTATAATAAAAAGGCTTACAATCCTTTGCAGTACAGCAGATTTATTGGATAATATGTTTATGATTGGTATGAGTATTGAACTAACAACATAAGGATATGTTGTACTATGCCTAACAGCAAGCCATACAGAAGAGTATTACATAAACATTGCAAAACACATTCACAACAACAAAGTTTTTTCTTAATGTCTAAGGCTAATACATTACAACAAAATTTACCTCATGTTTTTATTTTATTTTGAAAATTGACTTGTGTGTCAAACATTTCCTAAAAGATTAAAATTAACAAAATATTATGTAATGTGAATGTTTTAGATGTAATGTATTATTTGAAATACTCTTGTCAAATCCATTCATTAAAATATATTTAAAATGATTATAATTGAATTGTTCAGTCATCGCTGTTATCAATACACAAAAGAACCGCTACTATCTTTTCCAAAGTGCTACATTCATTTACTTTACATATAAAAAATACATATTGTTTAAAAAATATGACTATGATGTACATAAAAGGATTTTTATTGTAATTCATAATTACATAGTTTACTTAAAAATACAGAATTAAGTTGAAAAATAAAAATATTTGGTAGAGCAAAGCATGAATGAGGACAAGTGTAGAAGAACAGAGGTAAAGGCAGAAAGAAGGCAGGATATAGCACTGGTGCACCACAACAAGAGAAAGAAAGTGACCAGGTTTATTGATGTAAGAAAAGCCAAAATTGTTTTTAGGGACTATGATTATACCAAAACAAAATCAATTCAAATAATTACAAAACTGCAAAAAGAAACTTTAAAAATTGTATTAATTTTATATGCTGTTGTACATTTTAACATATGACAATAAAAGTATAGCACCATTTATATATAACATGTTTAAATATTGCAATTATGTACATATTAATTGTATGACATCACAGAAGGAAATCTACCTGCACGGATGATGAAGTTGATGCAGAGTGAAAGAGTAAAACATACTAAGGCAGTGATAAGTTTGTTGACAAAATGTTCTAGTTGTCTATGTAACATCTAATTCACGGCAACTAGAACAACATAACTTCATTTTATCTACTTATCCAACACCACACATAATTTAAAAAGAGAACACAATTTATAAAAACCATATGAATACCTGTTCACACCAAATAAAACTCAAATCTGGAAAATAATACTAAAGCTTGATCATGCATGACTACGTAAATGTGTTTAAAACACTACAGAACCAAATTTTAACAAAGATAAACAACAAACATGACATGACTCAAATTGAAACAAAGATAAACATCACATGACTCAACTTGAAACAAAGATGAAACTCACATTTAACTTAAAGAATATTGGACCATTAATGTACATTATGCTTAAGTGATTATATTACTAAACCAAAGCCATATCAAAGAAAATAGAGTAAATGGATTAACTGCCATTATAAGAAATATAAAAATGCAGTCTACTAAAGTATTTTTTAAAATTATTTTTTTTACCATGTAAATTTGAAAAGTATTCTCTAACTTGAGAAAGAGATTCTTCTCCCTCTGAAACAGAAAATACACTAGAAATTTATTGACACTAATGCCCAGTGAGGGATTTAAGTTTAAATATCAGCTAATTGCTAATCCTAGCAATAAATAGTTTTAAAAAGTGTTTTTATTTTACAACTTAAAAGTTTGTACTATAGTATTAATATATTGATAAAATAGACATTCCTAAATAGATGCTGAACTAGACAATCTGTCCTATTTCTTGATCCTGCTGATTTTCTTGGACTTGTCGTTAGTCTTGGGAGGATGAGCTGCCCCTGCTGTAATGTGACGACCATACAAGCTAAAACAAGAACAACATTTTTATCATCCTGAGATTCAAAACAGCAAGTAGCTATACAACATGCGAAACTTATTTCAGCTGGAAAAATAAAATCATCCTAAACATAATGAAATAAAATTTCCAAGCTGGAAAAATAAATAATCTTAAACATTATCAAACCAAATCTCCAGGACAATAAATGGATCTATTTAGCATTACTTACAATTTGTACGTGTCCGAGCGTATGTAGTCAAAAACATGTGAAACACCAACTTGGAACTGGTCAGCTATTGGCGCCACCCACGGATTGCCATCAGCTTTAAAAACTTGCTTCGTCCCTACCAGGTCTAAGTTGCCTGAGATAAACAATTCATCTGGGTATATTTTTTGCAAACCATAAGTTTTATAAAAATTGTAGTTTAAGTGTCATTTTTCTAAAACAGGACAAGGCAAAATCATGTCAATGAATCTTCCTGCATAAACTCCCATTTTAACATCACTACTGAGATCTCAGCAAGTTCTGTTGAGGGTCTTGGAAGTTACAAAAAATGTAAGGTGGTCGCGGTCAGACTATATGTTTCATTACAAAATATGTCTTAAATTTCACACAGGAAACAGTTTGGATGATTCAGGAAGTAATGAACACAAATGTTTAGGTTTAATCTGTGAGATAAGATTTATTAGCCTATAGATTTTGCTGATTAAGACACAAAGGAAAATATTTTATTTAAATGAGCCAGTTAAACTATAAAGAGAAAAGAATCTTCATTAGACCAAACAATCAATCGGGGATTCAGGGATGTTCTACTGACTTGGACCTGGATTTGAACTAGGGACCTTCTGGTTAGCAACCTACCGCTCTGCCACTTAGGCCATGCAGTTCCATAAGGGAAACTATGGTACATCACAACTGTCATGCTTATGTTACATTTGTTTACTATGACATTGTCATGCATGTTTCATTTATTTACTATGGACATTATTTAGTTTGGTTTAAAGAGTATTTGTGCTGGATGAGCAATTAAAAAGATGTAGGAATGAGAGAGTGATGACTGTGAAAACAAGAAACAATAAATGTGGTTCAAAAGCTGAAAATTGGTTGTCTTCATATTAAAGTACTTCTGCTCTATTTCACACTAGTGTAGAATTTCATATTACAACTTGTATTTGACCCTGTAAGCAGCACCAATATAGCAAGACCCACACTTTACTACAGAAGTCATCTGTCTCAGTACATTTGACACTGTAAGCAGCACCCATATAGCAAGACCCACACTTGACTACACCAATCATCTGTCTCAGTACATTTGACACTGTAAGCAGCACCAATATAGCAAGAACCACACATGACTACAACAGTCATCTGTCTCAGTACATTTGATGAAAACTTTGGTTACCCATCTCAGGAGGCAGCACAGTTAATCTGTTGCCCTGGATGTGGAGTTCCCTCAGGCGAGTCAGTTCTCCCAAATCTTTAGGCAAGGCAACCAGGTCATTGTCACGAAGAACTAACTGTAAACAACGGAGTGAAACATAACATGATAGTTACAACCATGGGGGAAATATAAAACAAGATAATTGTAGTCATATTTTTAAAAAAAAGAGATATTCACTTAACACTCTGTCTATTTTAAAAGTTTACTACAAATCTCCATGCATAAACTTACTATCTGTAAGTTCTTTAGACGCCCAATCTCTGGAGGCAGTTGTTCAAAATCATTATCTCCCATGTACAGTGCCCTCAATGTATCTGACAACAAGAAAGTATTCAAATGTGATTTTTATCAACTAGTTTTAAAAAGATAACCTAATATGAGGACCATTATCAATTTTTGAAAGTGATTCAAAAAGAGGTTTGGACTTTGCTAGCAACACCAACCTAAGCAAAAGAAATTAGTGGGATGGCTATTTTCAATAAGGTTGTTGTATGTAGCAACACCAATCTAAGCAAAAGAAGTTAGCAGGAAGGCTATTTTCCTTCAGGTTGTTGTATGTAGCAACACCAACCTAAGCAAAAGAAGTTAGCAGGAAGGCTATTTTCATTCAGGTTATTGTATGTAGCCTATTGTAGCAACACCAACCTAAGCAAAAGAAGTTAGCAGGAAGGCTATTTTCATTCAGGTTGTTGTATGTTACGTCCAGGACCTCCAGCATAGGACATGCACCAAAACCTCTGGGAAGTGAGCTCAACCGATTCATTCTACAAAATAAAACAATCTGTTTAATAAAGACAGGATGAAAGCTCTAGTTAAATCCTAAATATAATAAAATTATTCATGTTCTAGAAACATCTTTGAGTACAAAAGCATGTTTGAAAAGTAAATCTTTTATTTAAAGGGTTCTAAATCTATAATTAAGGTGACTCACCCGACATTTAAAATTTTTAGCTTAGGCATAGAACTCAAGGTAGTTGGTAGCTCCTGAAGAATTTAGGTTACAATTTATTGACATAGATAAAACATTATGTACAACATATAAAATATAACAAAAAGTGTGTATCAGTTTATTGATGAATTAATAAATACTAAATGTAATAGTAACAAAGTGAAGCTCATAACTAACCTCAATCATGTTGTTGAATAAAACAATTATTTCAAGATTAAGAAAATTAGCAATGTTTCCAGGTATAGCTGTGAAAATTAAGAAAACATTTTTGAATGAAACAGTGCATTTACCACTATAGCTTTTTTGAAATAGTTTTTCTACATTTCACATAATAAACTTACAACAATGACATCGTGTGACAATAAGTCTTATTAGTGTGAAGCCCAAAATTATGTTGAAACGTATTGTATTTAATACTTGCACAGGGCATGTTGCAAAAACAAAACAGGGAACATAATCATAACAGTTCAAAATTTTACGTCATTTTGTTTTCTGAGTTTAATTCTTAATATAATTTTAAAAAATCAACTCTTGTACACTATTATTTCCATTTCTATGTTGTGATTTAAGCTGGTAATAATTTTAGAGCTTTGATGATCTTATTCAATGGTATAGTGTGGTGCACACATGTGGCTAAGATACACAACTCAGTATTGTACGGTTAGATTAACCAATACTTACAAACTATTTTGTTATGGGCAAGGACCAGCTTGGTAAGATTTTTCAAGTTTACTGAAATGAAAAAAAAAAGATTTTAAATAATGTGATAATGTGAGACTAGTAGGCCTACTGTTTTCACATTCCAAGGAAGACTCAACCCTACATTAATCATTAAAGAATAAACAATAAAGGGTGTAAGTGACTAAAGTACTGTAAGTAAGTGTTAAAGTTAAAGGGATCATCCTTATATAATAAACTGTAGGCCTAATTTAGGGCCTAATAAATATAGGCCTATGACTATACATAAATATTCAAACGATTAAGTTACTGATTGTAAAAGACATACTAGTAAAACTTTTATTAAAGGACTAAAACTAAAAGATTTGCTAAAACTTAAATTTAAAAAAAACAGATGTAGGCCCCTACCAAAGCCAGGAATTTCCAGAATGTTGACTATGTTTTTATCAACTAAAACCAGCTCTGTACTATTTCCTTCTTTTGCATCATCAACCATTTTTTTTAGTTTACTAGCCATTTTTTTAAATAAAAAAGATTTAGAGGATCTAGCTTATACAATTAAAGAAGGTTTTATTAAAGAAATGAATTATTTATTGACTATTTAAGGAAACCCGGAAGTGTACATAATAAATAGTCCTGATCCAACTTTTGTAAATCTAGATAAATTGGTAAAAATAGTTTAATAATAAACTTAAAAAATATGAATTGCTGTTTCGATTCAGACTTACCAATAGTTGGTTAAATGAAAACAAAGTAAAACTAAACAATAAATAATCGATGTAAATATATCTTCAATTAAAGTAGATTATTTTAAAAAAAACTATTAGATCTAATTGTTCTCTTGGTTTATCAACTGATTGTTTTTAGTAAACGAATAAAACAATTCCGATAACTCTAAAATAAAAGTCTAAATGTTAGATATTTCAGTATTTTTTTCTCGATATTTTATTTTTATTTAGGCCTGTAGTTGTATAAGATCCACTTAGGACTAAGGTTACTTGATCTATATTTAAATATATTAGGTATTTATATTTATTAGCCTATTAATTAAATTAAATCATTAGGCCTATTGACTCCGTGTGTTAGAATAGTTAATGACAGTTAATGATTGAGGCAAGCTTTTATTTTTATTTAATTTTTCCTTTCATGCTTTGACTTTTATTGATGAATGATGGCACCTTGCATTAACTTTGATATATACTATATACTAGTAAAATAGTGTTTTTTTTTAAAACACATAACTGTCTTTAGTGACCTTGTCTTAACTCTTCACTCTCTCAAATTGTCTGACTGACTGGATCTTTTCCATCAGACCATTGCCATTCTTTTTGTAGCCAGTATTCACTGTCCAGTGACTCGGCCAGTTTCAGATTTCAAGTTTCTGTTTCGCTTGATTAAAAACTAAACTAAATTTGAATTCATACTCCTACCAGTTTTGATTTAAATTATATATATTATATAGATATAGATCTCTTGTCAAGAGTAGGCTAAATAGTAAATAAATAATTAAATATCCATTCATTAGGCTCCTTTTTTCATTTGCAAGTTGACTCAAAAACCAATTGTTAGGCCTAATAATTTTGATGTAATAAAAAAAGTTACTTTGACCAAACTTTTATCCAGTGTGTTTTATTTTGAATATAGGCGGTTTAATACTAGAATAATTTAGTAAACATTAGCTAAAGTAAAGGCCTAGGCAAATTTTATTCACAGTATAGGCCTAATTAATTTTAATATTGGAGTACAAACAAAATACTATAACATCAACATTATAGCTTGTAATTTTAAATATTAATTTATTTCTAGCAAAGAAGAGAATGCAGACTCTAAGAGAACTCCAGACATTGAATGGCCACACAGACAGAGCCTGGTGTGTTTCATGGAGTCCCAGTGGTTTACTTCTAGCTTCGTGTGGTGGGGACAAAACAATCAGAATTTGGGGAAAAGAAGGTCCAAACCATTTGATTTCAATTGTTTATGTTTATAACTGTTAAGAAATGTAATTTTTAGAAAAAAGTAATTTCTTTTGATCTCTTCTTTCATTTTTGTGACATAATAAAGTAATAATAAACAGTCTGAATTAAAAAACTGAAACATTTAATTTACTAGGTGACAAATGGTTGTGCAAGTCTGTTTTAGCTGATGCCCATACTAGAACTGTAAGATCTGTGTCATGGTCACCCTGTGGTCAGTACCTGGCTGCGGCAAGCTTTGATGCTACCACCAGTGTGTGGAGTAGGAAATCTGGAGAGTTTGAATGCTTGGCCACCTTAGAGGGGCATGAGAATGAGGTGAAGGGTGCATCATGGGCCTGTACGGGAAGTTTGCTTGCAACTTGCAGTAGGGACAAGAGTGTGTGGATTTGGGAAGGTAATTTGCTCTTGTGTTTCATCAACCCAATATTGTGTCTTTAAGTGTAAACCGTACTGAAGTAGTTAAGTGCACTGTCAGACAAAAGGGTCCAAAACCAGAAGAAGAGTTCTCTATTCTATTCTGAGCAAACTTTGCTTTTCCCAGTTGGAGTCAGATACCCACCAAAACTTGGAAAACTCAAAGATGTCCTACATACTTGAGAAGTGGAACCAATTTTGACTATCAAATTAGCAATCATGAGCGCTACACCATAACCATGCTGTCCCATGTGATATATATTAATAGTACCTTTAATTTTAATATATGTGTAATAATATATATATATAATTGTTAAAACATTTCACTTGATGCTTTAACAAGTCCTCATCTTGATTAGAAACATTACAAAATATAATAGATTATATATTATATATATTTTGTTCATTCTTCCATTATAATTGCATAACAGAATTTTAATAAATAATATAACCACAATTACAGTGACAGCGGATGAAGAGTTTGAATGTGCTAGCGTGATGTCAACACACTCTCAAGATGTTAAACATGTGAAGTGGCACCCTCACAAGGAAGTTCTTGCCTCTTGTGGCTACGATGACACAATCCGCTTCTTCAGGGAGCAGTCAGATGACTGGGAATGTTTTGCCACGCTGAAAGGTCACGGCTCCACTGTCTGGTCACTTGACTTTGATAAATCTGGCAGTCGGCTGGCCTCTTGCAGTGCAGACTCTACTGTTAAAATCTGGCAAGAATACGAGCCTGGCAACCCAGAAGGTGTGGCCACCACGGACAATCTCCCCACATGGAAGTGTGTGTGTACAATCAGTGGATTCCACGAGAGACCTATCTACGACATTAGCTGGTGCCATCTCTCTGGTTGCCTAGCAACAGCTTCAGGAGATGACAGCATTTGCATCTACAAAGAGCTTCCCACCGCAGATGCCAAAAATCAGCCTCAGTTTGAGCTGGCTGCTAGAGCAAGGGGAGCTCACTCTCAAGATGTTAACAGCATAAACTGGCACCCTAAAGAGCAGGGGTTGTTGGCCTCTTGTAGTGATGATGGTTCAGTCAAGTTGTGGTGCTTAGAACAAGATTAACATTTTGAAATGGAATATTGTATTTATTTTAACCCAGAAACAGATTTATATCTATCTTTAGTTATTATAAAACAATGAACAAGCGGTACAATACTTGTGTAATAAAAAAATAAAACAAAATTCAAGTTCTTATGAAAGTATGATAAAATATTAAAATGCCTTAGTAAATGTTTATATCCTGCTAGCCACTGGGGACTGAGTTTAGTGTTGCAAGCTACTGTAAAAGTTTTACTAATAATTTTAAGCAATATAATGCCACAGATGTATTTTATAAATATTGTTTATTATAAAAAATAATATTATTACACATTTTTTGAAGCATCAAACCCAAGTGGGTTAAATGTATGCATGATTGATTATTTAACATGCAAGTCAATTTAGTCATGGTCATAAAAGATGTATGATAAAGGAAAATGGGCATTGATTATTTATATTTTGAAGTAACACATGAACAAAAAATTCAATTCTAGTTTGTTCCAAGTACACTGAAATGTAAAAAAAAAACATGTTACCAGTTAAAACCAAGTTAGTCTTATTGTTCTAGCGTTGTTTATAGAACAGAAAACATTCAGCTGTAAACATACAAATGAATCCAGAAACCTTGGAACACATTGAGATCAAGTCACATGGGATCATTCATTTCTTGTGACAATGTAAGCTTTTAAATCCTCTTTTGTGATCCAGCTGCTTTATTAGAAGTTACTTAAGCATGATCTTATTTTAATTAAAACAATTTATTTTCCCCCAAAAACATGACTATTGATTGGCTTTAATAACAAAATTTTGAAACTTCTTTTTTCTAAATATTGTTGTAATACTGTCATGTAGGTCTAGACACTGTATTATGTAAAGGTTATGGCCCTTCTTGTTTGAATCCATTGGATGGGTACAGGATTATAGAACTTGGTTAAATAATATTGTGTGTAGTCAGTAGACCTGACTATGTTGGGTATTGGACACTAGATTATTTATTGTGAAATTAAGGAGTTCATGAAAAACTATTTTGTTGAAATACGGTTGAAGAGATACATGTTGATTATAGTTTAAAATCATGGCTAGAGCTAACTGAAAAACCCAAATATAAACGTTTGAAATGATGAAGCGAGATAGCTACTGTTAATACTATTTGACGCTGCCTTTTTGTCAGTGAAAAAAAAAGCTCATTTAGTTTATGATTGAAATTTTTAAAAATCTTTATCATTTTAGCAATAAAACATTCATTAAATTAGTAAAAAACAAAATGTAATGTGGAACAAATACACAAAACACGGCATATTTCACCTATCATTGATAGACTAAAGTAAAATAGATATTTAAAAAAACAACAACAAAAAGGTGCAATTTTAAGGGGTATCGTCGGTGGTTGTGTGACGTAACTTTAGTGTGTGTTTAGGTAAACAGTTCTTTTTTTTTAAAAATTGGCTGTGATGTAAGAGAAGCTTAATGGACTTATTTGAACGCAACATATCGAACAAAACCCATCCGTACACCAAACATATCACCCAGCCCACATAATACATCGAATGTAAATTATTTTGGTTAATGGCTTCCTAGGAGTGGGACAAACCAACATTTAAACGCAGAATCTGCAGGGAACAACTTAGCTGTTAGGTTTCTGCTACATATAGCAGTCCTGTCGTACAGCCAAGCCAGAGGTAGCCTGACGGTCATATGTAACCTGGTGGTAGCCTGAGGCCGTGATCTGTCTTAAGATGATGGCTAGGTTAATTAGCTCTTCACTGATTGGTTTGTTAAATGAAATATTTGGCCGAGCCTTGGTGTTCTTCCATAAATGGGTCAAGCAATTTTAGCCTTCGCCTCCCCCCCCTATCGCCACACGTCATCACAAAAAGACAGAATCTGTTAAATGAAGTCACAAAACACATAATTCTGACGTAATTACATACTGTTATACTGGTAATTAAATCAAAATACGATCCCCAAGTAGCATATACCTCACACACGCTTGACCCCCCCCCCCCCGGCCCCACATGTGTGAGGGGGGAATGGATGGTGTAGAAGTGAAATTTCAGTCAGGTCTCACCACTCACCAAGAGCCGTATTCTAAAAGAGCCCCTTCCCCCCCCCCACACACACACAAAGCCAGATAGACACCCATACAAAATGATGGCCCAACACACTAAACCACAGCCAAACAGCGATGATCCTACACTAAACCACAGCCACACACTCAGCTATTTAGCCACTTCCACACAATCCTAATCTGCCCCTACTCATGACAATGCCCACAATCCAGCTGACGATCTATTATATCAATATCTGCGTCAGGCCACTATCTAGTATATCAATATCTGCGTCAGGCAACTATCTAGTATATCAATATCTGCGTCAGGCCCAAGCGATCAACAAAGGCTTTTGTTCCAGTCCTCCTCGATAATTTATCAACAGCTGTAGGCCGACTGCACCACCAGATAAATACCAAGGACTTAGGATAATAAACAAGGGAATAAACTCTCCATTGAAAACAATAACTCACACAGCTGTTACTAAACAGAATTTATAACTAAGGTTACAGAGGGGTAGCTACGTTGAGTTACGTCCCATTGTTGTGTTATCAATGGAATAGTTTGGCAAAGTTTGTTCTAGGCTTTTTCTAAATGAAAGAATTATGAGCTATAAATATGGTTTCGGTCACACTTGAGTACCTTGTTTGGTACCCGCGATCCCAATAAAAGATAATAGTTGGTTGTTCTGTGTGTGTGTGTGTGTGTGTAGAGTGGATGTGGTTTCTGGTAGTTGATTGTTCCGTGTGTGTGTGTGTAGAGTGGATGTGGTTTCTGGTAGTTGGTTGTTCTATGTGTGTAGAAGGTGGTGGTGAGTGGTGATGGTGGTTGTGGTTTCTGGTAGTTGGTTGTTCTGTGTGATGATGGTGATGGTGATGATGGTGGCTTCTCGTAGTTAGTTGTTCTATGTGTGTAGATGGTGATGGTGATGATGGCTGCGGTTTCTGATAGTTGGTCGTTCTGTGTGTAGATGGTGATGGTGATTGTGGTTTCTGATTGCTTGTTGTTATCTTTGTGTAGATGGTTATAGTGGTTGTTTCTGGATCTGTAATTAGCATGAAGTCGGTGCTGATTGTTGAAAACTGTCTTATGTTGTGTCATATATAACGGCCATGCTAGACCACTTATTGTATGGCAGCCATGATGATCCAGTGTAAACGATTGCGACCACCACTACGATGAGACACGCTAATCGACATTTTGTTTCACGTTTTGATGTCACACCACACTGAAACCACCTTGCTAACATGAGACACACTCGTGTGCACTGGTTATTTTAAAAAAAACCGTTTTTATTTATTAGATAGCAAAACTGTCACCCCCCTCCCGTATCACAGTCTTGAATATAAATTCGATTATGCGGACCTGGATTAATTACTACGAGCCGATCCGGGGCGTATCATACGCCGCTATTTAGTTTTATTTTCTACTTTTCAGTAATTCATAATTTTTGAATTAGACAGTACCAATGTTGCCACTGAAAATATTTGCTTTAAAACACTATCAGATGGTCGTTAAGGGCGATACCGTCCTCCTTTCCCCTACCCCATCTCACTCCCCCCCACTCCCCCCCCCCCCCCCCATTGAAAGCAAACTCCTCTTCGTTACCTCCCCTAAGTTTAAAATCGTTTCAAACTACATTATCTGCCCCTAATAGCCGTCACTAAACCCGGCTCTACGATTGTAAACAGCGTGAACCACAGCTCGCCAGACTTCCTAGAGAGAAAGAGAGGGGACTGCAAGGCGCGCTTACAGCTTGTTTTCTAATGTCTCCAAGAAGAGAATTATATATATACGAGCCGACCCGCGGCGTATCATACGACGCTATTCAGTTGTTTAATTTTCTACTTTTCAGTGGTTCATAATTTGTGAATTCTACAGTACCAATGCTGCCACTGAAAATATTTGCTTTAAAATACTATCAGTTGGTCGTTAAGGACGATACCCCCCCCCCTTCCGTGAAAGCAGCCTCCCCTTAATTATCTCACCTAAGTTAAAAATAATTTCAAACTAAATTATCTGCCCCTAATAGGCGTCACTAAACCCGGCTCTATGATTGTTAACATTTAGCGTCAACCACAGCTCACCAGACCATGTGGTGGGTGGGGGAGGTTGACTTAGGCCTAGTGAAGAAGAGAGGGGACTGCAAGGCGCGCTTACAGCTTGTTTTCTAGGGTCTCCAAGAAGAGAATTATATATATATAGACGAGCCGACCCGCTGCGTATCATACGCCGCTATTTAGTCGTTTTTTTTTTCTACTTTTCAGTAATTTATAATTTGTGAATTCGACAGTACCAATGCTGCCACTGAAAATATTTGCTTAAAAACACTAAACCCCCCCCCCTTCCCCCCCCCCCACATGAAAGCAGCCTCCTCTTAGCTAACTCCTCTAAGTTTAAAATCGTTTCAAACTAAATTATCTGCCCCTAATAGCCGTCACCAAACCCGTCTCTATGATTGTAAAATGTAAACAGCATGAACCACAGCTCACCAAACCATGTGAGGGGGTGGAGGTGGTGGGGGGGGGGGGGTAGCGATAGAGAGGAAGAGAGGGGACTGTAAGGCGCGCTTGCAGCTTGTTTTCTAACGGCTCCCAGAAGAGAATTATATATATAGATATAGATTTCACCTTGAAGTGGCTTCGTAAAAAACGTTGTAAGGATTAGCGATCCTATTGACCGTGTCGCACATAAAAAAAGGCCTGCAACGTGTCATTGTTTTAATGGTCGCCTCATTGTGGGGATCTAATTCCATTACTATTTTATATTAAGCCTGGGAAAGGGGCGGGGGGGGGGGGGGGCAGGAGGTGGAAATAAAATAAAAACTGAGCCAGCTGTCGGTTTAATATGTACTTTATGTTGTAATAGGGTTTTATCACGTGCCAACATAAGAGGCATATCGGGGTAGGGTGTACAGGTGTGGGGTTTGGAGCTGGGGGTGGGTAGGGCACTGTTTTGAATACTTTTTTAAACAAGAAAATTACCTAAACAACGGAAAATTTCACTGTATGTAATGACAGCATTAATCTTTTTGATATAAGAAGCTATATGGAAGTAAAATTGAGAAAAAAGTAATGGAAACCAGGCCTTGTTCGGGGCTTTGACTTCTTAAGAAGAGAGGGAGGGGGCAGGGGGGAGGGGGGGGCTCTCTACTGGCAGACATTTTGAAATGTCACGTAATTTTTGTTACATTGCAGTTGTCATTAGGCAGTTGCCGAATCTTTTGCAGTTGTCACTAGGCAGTTACCGAATCTTTTGCAGTTGTCACTAGGCAACTACAGGGTCTTTTATGAGAAATCTGGAACAATGGATCGCAGATAATATACTACACACTCTTAGCATTTACAATCATTTTCCCCCCGTGTTGTCATTCAATATCAGGTAACAGAATTACAAAGGGCAAGCCATTATACAGACCCACAGCCTTTAGCTAGCGACGTCCTCAAGTTTCTTATTAAAAAAAAAAACAAACAACAACTGAGATTCAAAGTTAATGACACAGGGGAAGTGACACATTTTGGGTCTGGGTTAGCCCCCTCCCGCCCCATGCATGCTACTAAATACTGCGTGACCAAAGAAATATAAATTTCCCACAGGATAGGGAAGAACATTAAACGTGTTTTCTATGTGCACACACACAAGCACATAAACATCCATAATTTTAAGAGACTATGCGAACAAAGCTATTTCTTAACACCCTAAACAAAGAAAGTAATTATTTGATTCAATAAAATCTTCTCTTCCCCAGCGACTCGATTATCCAATCAGATCTCTCTTACAAACCTGCGGTGATAAATTTAGCCCATCGCGCGCTGAGCATGACGTCGCACGGTGTAGTTTTGTATAGCGCGTATTTTGACGGTTCGTCAGTTCGCTGGAATTGATTGAATGGCGTGCGGCATAGACACGTTCCTCTTAGTTTTAGTGTTCAAACTAAATGTTACTACTAAGACACATGGAAGTGACTACTTAAAATTGACGTGAATACTTACAGCAATGGAAGTCAAATGAGGTCAAGTCTGTACGCAAGTCGTAAAGGATTCTAGTGGCAGGATGAGGCTTTTCTTGAAGCGTAAAATTCTGGTTTTGCTGATTACGCTGGCGCTCATTATTTTAATTGGATTGTCTACAAGGCCTTTGGAATCAAATGGTGAGTGCACATAGGATTCCAGGTGTAGGTGGGTTTAACGTGCGCGGAGAATGTGTGTGATGTAGGCGGGGTGTGTGATGTGGGCGGGGTGTGCGATGTGGGCGGGGTGTGTGATGTGGACGAGGTGTGCGATGTGGGCGGGGTGTGTGGGTGGGGTGAGTGGTATGGGCGGAGTGTGCGAAGTAGGCGGGGTGTGTGATGTAGGCGGGGTGTGGTGTGGGCGGGGTGTGCGATGTAGGCGGGGTGTGTGGTGTGGGCGGGGTGTGCGATGTAGGCGGGGTGTGTGGTGTGGGAGGGGTGTGTAGCGTGGGCGGGGCGTGTTCTGTGGGTGGGGTGTGTAGTGTGGACGGGTTGTATTCTGTGGGTGGGGTGTGTAGCGTGGTCGGGGTGTGTGGTGTGGGCGGGGTGTGTGGTGTGGGTGGGGTGTGTTCTGTGGGCGGGGTGTGTAGCGTGATCGGGGTGTGATCAATTAAAAATTCCCATTGAAGTTTGAGGATCCCATTTAGGACCGAGTTCTCGGTGTCGTGTTTAGACGTGCTGTTGTAATATGGGCTCAGGTGTTTTTTTAGGGCCCATCACAGGTAAAATGTACCTCGACACTACCTGTAGCTTGGGCCGGTTGGTGGGAGGACAGCTGTTCAGTAGCCGGCAGGCCGGTAAATGTCAACTGCCGGTAAATGTCAACTGCCGGTAAATGTCAACTGTAGGATGGGTCAGTAGCCTAGACGTTGTGTATCTTGTCATGTGTATATGTCATGCTGGTAGCACGTTATATGGACTGTACATGTCATGTGTGGCGGTACATGTCATCCTTATATCTGGTCATGTGTATAAGTCATGTGTACATGTCATTTTGAGGATCTGCTAGGTGTACATGCAATTCACCGAGTCTGAGGAAAGAGAGCACCCCACACAAACATAATTGTGAATACAAATAGAGGCGCGTTGTCTCCCTTTCTTCTCTGTTTACAGATTTGTTGAGCAAATAAGAATAAACCCTTAAAGGTTTCTTTAGTGATCCGCTTTTATACGATACGTTCACAAATCTTTTAATCGTTCTATTATATGGTTGTTAGACCGGGACAGTGCCAGAAGTTGAAGGCATTGTTCTCTAGAAACTCTGGAAGATCAACTTATGAATGTTTCTAATTTTAGAATGTGCTAGCACATCTTAATACCTTTTTACAAGCTAATATATAGTTCGCAACGTTTATTTGTTTGTTCGATTGTGGGTTTGTGGCAAATCTTGTAAATCAATTTTGACCCACTTAAAATGCAGCGATTTCGTTCAAATTTTAAAGATACGTTCCACTTCGATGACAATAAAAGTCTATTTATTTTTTAATTTAATTAGATGTTTAATTCGTCATTAAAAATTAATTAAACGGTGTCGACACAAAGGGGAGATAACAACATTTTATCGCTATAATATGTAAAAGATTTCATGAGCTACCAAAGCTTTCATGAAAGAAAGCAGATTAGTTTTATTTTCTTATTTTCAGTACATTTAAAAGCTTGTAGCTATACATTTTTAAAAAAAAATATTTTTTTATAGTTTCCATGTCAGATAATTTGTTTTGAATAATAATAACCGTGTCACAGATAATGTGTATTGAGTGATGTTAAACCAGTAACACCTAACGAGTTAGACAACTAGCTGCCGACACTAACAATGTTTTATGATCACACCCTAGGAGTGTCCTCTAGATATCTAGAAGATGTTACTTATCACCTCCTGAAGATGTTACTTATCACCTCCTGATTAAGCACAGCGCGTGCTTATGTTGATGCTTCGTGTGCTTGGTACGGACCGTGCACGTTTTATGTAACATTATAGTGGTGGATCATGTTGTAACGTTAAGAAATGGTGTTGGTGGCGGTAGGAAGTTTTGTAACATTTTTAAACATTTTCAAAATGTTTTATTTCGTTAAATTTGTGATACTTAGAATATACTCTCCATACTAGCCCAAAAATATTTAAAAATAGCTTTTAATGAAGATAGAAAAATCCATGATATAGCCTATACGAATGACTCTTGAATTTTTAAGATATTTAATTTTTTAATAGTTCCAAAATAACCAGTTGATTTTTATTTCGGGGGGTGGGGGGAGGGGGCGGTGAAGAGAAGGGAGGGGTTGAGGTGTTTGTAATATTAGTAAAATGGGGGTGGGGTTGAGGGTGATACGTGTGAATCTCATATAACGTTAAATGGCTTCTGGGGTTTGGTAAAAATCTCAAATTTTTGTTTTCTGTATTATGTGCAAGATAACTAACCCCGGAAATCACATCACTTCTTTAATAAGTAGAACATGTATAGTCCATGTATGGAACATGTATAGAACATGTATAGAACATGTGTAGAACATGTAGAGAACATGTATAGAATATGTGTAGAACATGTATAGAACATGTGTAGAACATGTAGAGAACATGTATAGAATATGTGTAGAACATGTATAGAACATGTGTAGAACATGTATAGAACATGTATAGAACAGGTATAGAACCAGTATAGAACATGTATAGCCCATGTATAGAACATTTAGAGAACATGTATAGAACATGTGTAGAACATATGTAAAACAAGAGTAGAACATGTATACAATAAGTAGTCCACATGTTGTTAATTTTACCCACTAATGATGGATGAACGTGACGTGAAATACATCTCGTGAAAATACACCAATACTGACATCATGACAATTTTATATTCCTGTTGGTAACACAACATATTGACACCATGTCTGATGGTTACACATCATATTGACATCATGACATTTTGTTTCATTCCTGCTGATACCACCATAAAAACGACACCAACCGTTCATCTGTGTCACACCACCACCACCAACGACACCAACCGTTCATTCTCTGTGTCACACCACCAACAACAAAACTAGCAACTGGTACGCCTTAAATTGATTTTTTTTAACCTGAGGAAAAAAATCGTTGTACTACTCAGTCATGTAGTGGCAACATTGTTAGATCATCCTATCGTTTGGTCGCTGTGTTAGATCACCCTATCGTTTGGTCGCTGCGTTAGATCATCCTATCGTTTGGTCGCTGTGTTAGATCACCCTATCGTTTGGTCGCTGTGTTAGATCATCCTATCGTTTGGTCGCTGAGTTAAATCATCCTATCGTTTGGTCGCTGAGTTAAATCATCCTATCGTTTGGTCGCTGCGTTAAATCATCCTATCGTTTGGTCGCTGTTTCCCTTATCTGTGCCTGATTAGGGGATTACCTCCACACATTGATCGACCGCCGGAAACTGGCCTTGTTTGAATGGTGTCATGCTGGTTTGATGCAAACAGACTCCCATAGTACCGTATAGTAACATACAAGATATCTTTTATTCATTGTATGTGTATTGTGTCGGTGTATTCTGTCAGTGTATTGTGACACAAACAGCCAGACAGCTTCGCCAACCTTGTCACAAAAAGCCGGACAGCTCCATCTAGACTGACACAAACAGCCGGACAGCTCCATCTAGACTGACACAAACAGCCGGACAGCTCCATCTAGACTGACACAAACAGCCGGACAGCTCCATCTAGACTGACACAAACAGCCGGACAGCTCCATCTAGACTGAAACAAACAGCCGGACAGCTCCATCTAGACTGACACAAACAGCCGGACAGCTCCATCTAGACTGACACAAACAGCCGGACAGCTCCATCTAGACTGACACAAACAGCCGGACAGCTCCATTTAGACTGACACAAACAACCGGACAGCTCCATTTAGACTGACACAAACAGACGGACAGCTCCATCTAGACTGACACAAACAACCGGACAGCTCCATCTAGACTGACACAAACAGCCGGACAGCTCCATCTAGACTGACACAAACAGCCGGACAGCTCCATCTAGACTGACACAAACAGCTCCATCTAGACTGACACAAACAGCTCCATCTAGACTGACACAAACAGCCGGACAGCTCCATCTAGACTGACACAAACAGCCGGACAGCTTCATTTAGACTGACACAAACAACCGGACAGCTGCATTTAGACTGACACAAACAGCCGGACAGCTTCATTTAGACTGACACAATCAGCCGGACAGCTCCATCTAGACTGACACAAACAGACGAACAGCTCCATCTAGACTGACACAAACAGACGGACAGCTCCATCTAGACTGACACAAACAGCCGGACAGCTCCATCTAGACTGACACAAACAGCCGGACAGCTCCATCTAGACTGACACAAACAGCCGGACAGCTCCATCTAGACTGACACAAACAGCCGGACAGCTCCATCTAGACTGACATAAAACAGCCGGACAGCTCCATCTAGACTGACACAAACAGCCGGACAGCTCCATCTAGACTGACACAAACAGACGGACAGCTCCATCTAGACTGACACAAACAGCCGGACAGCTCCATCTAGACTGACACAAACAGCCGGACAGCTCCATCTAGACTGACACAAACAACCGGACAGCTCCATCTAGACTGACACAAACAGCCGGACAGCTCCATCTAGACTGACACAAACAGCCGGACAGCTCCATCTAGACTGACACAAACAGCCGGACAGCTTCATGTAGACTGACACAAACAGCTCCATCTAGACTGACACAAACAGCCGGACAGCTCCATCTAGACTGACACACAAACAGCCGGACAGCTCCATCTAGACTGACACAAACAACCGGACAGCTCCATCTAGACTGACACAAACAGCCGGACAGCTCCATTTAGACTGACACAAACAGCCGGACAGCTCCATCTAGACTGACACAAACAGCCGGACAGCTCCATCTAGACTGACACAAACAGCCGGACAGCTCCATCTAGACTGACACAAACAGCCGGAAAGCTCCATCTAGACTGACACAATCAGCCGGACAGCTCCATCTAGACTGACACAAACAGCCGGACAACTTCATCTAGACTGACACACAAACAGCCGGACAGCTCCATCTAGACTGACACAAACAACCGGACAGCTCCATTTAAACTGACACAAACAGCCGGACAG